GGCGCTCGAGGAGTCCCTGCACGACTTTCCAACATTCTGATGCTCTTGGATTGGTTGTATGTGTTTACGAACCAGCAGAAGCTTGTTCAAGCGCATCTATGCCGTACATGTGTCGTGACCACGTGCTTGAATTGAATTGACGTTGTAACATGTAAGCTATCAGCAGCAGTTCTACTTTTCATGTTCTTCCAGCATTTTCGCCATGGTAGTGGCAATTCTTGCCCCGAGAATTCGCAGCTGAGCCTGGAGGCAGCGACTTTCGACACAAATTGTGGACCATGTAGCATAGGGCTGAAGTTGAATGGCTGGATCTGGAGATCACGGGATAAGACAGTGACCAGACGCGTCGCTTTTCCGACGCTCTCACAGCCATGTCTGTTGGCCGATGCCCCAGTTAGTTGTAATCGCATCATTGGGCCGGATCTTTATACCCCTGGAGCATGCCTTATGGTGGGTGCGTGGGGCATGCAGACACTGCACTGCGTACTCCGCAAGCCGGGCTTTAGCATTGAACGTGTTGCAGGCGCAGTTTTACTGAAACCTGGCATTGCGAGACTTGTTGGCAGCCTCTGGATGCGATGTTTCCATTGGCTACGCAGAATTTTCACGTTATTGTTGAGCATGCGATGTCAACTTCCGACGGCAGTGATCCAATAATCCACCACACGGCATGCCTTCACACCGGGACGGATGCGTGGTGTCGGCTCTGTCTCTGGTTTCGTTGCATTGTTGGAAGTTGAGAATACTCTTATGAACATGACTTTGGATTCCTCAGCTGCCGTGCCACATGACACAACTGCGCACGCCCTGTCATGTTCAGCATCTCCGAAGGGAGCACATGAAGCCGTGATGACGGTTGCGATGTTTTCTTGAAAGTTTCAGGGGCCTCAGGCTCGTCGGTCCAGCACACAGTCGCAGTCCCGAGCTCTCTTGAGCAACGGCCCCTTCAAACTGGCAAGGGCATTCGCCAAGCAACGACAGGTTCTTCGACTGCTTCAACCAGAAAATCGTCCTGAGCACGCATGCAATAACGCAAGGGCTCCATCAGTACCAAACCTGTTTGTGTGTTTGCCTAGCTTTCGGAGCCCTCTTCTCAAGTTGCATGCCACCTGTTATTCTGACAGAGTTCGAGCTCCGCGGCCTGCGCCGACCCTATCTTGAAGAGACAGTGGCAAGTCCATGTCGAAATTCTTGCTTGTTGTGGCTGCGTGTATGCAGCTTGCACATGCTGCCTACCTCAGTCCGGTACCCCAGAAAATCACTGACGAGGCGGAACTTCATGTCATATAAGACGACGTGTGCACTGCTGTCGCAGTTCACATAGCTCCCAATGTCACGAAAGCTCAGGAGCTGGTCGGAGTTGTCCGGAAGGACAAGAACTGGCTAAGAAGCAGAAGCCCAGTTTGGGCGCCTTTAATCAGGACTAGAAGGCATCTACTCGGTAGCAGGAGTGAAAGAGCGTGGCCCGTACCTTGGACACGTATCCACATGACGGTGCTCTGGCGTGCGGTGGGGGCGTGGTAAGGGTCTGGCGGGCCTTCGTATTGTAGTTTGCACCATGAACACCTCGACAGCGACCGTTTGTTTTCGATCTCGGCGGGAGTTCGTCCTTTGTCTGTGGCTCGGTACACCGAAAAGTTCGAGTCCTTTCGCGTTGCAGTTTTAGCTAGAAACACCGCGACAGCGCCCTTTTGATCTTCGATCTCGGTGCCATCCCCGTTGCTGCTTTGCAAGCTCTGTACATTCCATCGTCAGGCTACATCCTGGTTGCTGAACATGAGAATCGGCTGCGGTCTCAGAGGCATACCGCCATGTCTGTGGGTTGATGTGACAGATCTGATTGCAAGAGCTCATCTTTCAGCCGTTACGGCTCTGAAAGCTCAGACAGCGCTTGAAGAGCCATGAAGCGGGTTTTCGGAGAGGAGACTGGGAAAGCCCCGGCATCGGAAATGCAGGAAGCGGAAGGCAGTGCCGGCATCCGGCTGCATGACGAGACTGTTAATATCCTCCTGCAGAAGTTGTTGCGCAATGCAGATTTCCAGCAACTGGCAAAGCATTTGCTGGGGGCCGCGGACGGCGGGCTACCCCAAGCGAAAGTCTCAAAGCCGAAGACTGCAGAAGTCTGCGGTCAGGGTTCAGAAAATACAAGTAGCTCAAGTCGAGGTTCAGGCTCCGTTGCGTATGTGCCACGAGATTCAGATTCACTTGCTGAACGGGAGATCTGGCAATCCCCTTCTCAAAGCACCTCATGCAAGCAAGAAGCTGAAGATGCTACCAGAAACTGGAGAGGAACAGAAGCCGCTGCACCAAATGACCATGCAGATATCGCGCTCGAGCCTAACAACCCATCTGGGAAAAACAGCGTTGGAGCGAAGAATGGGACAGCCCCGCCAATGCCGGGGATCCAGGAAGCGGAGGGAGCGGAAGGCTCTGCAGGCATCCGGGTGTATGAGGAGACTGTTGACTCGCTCCTGCAGAAGCTGCGCAATGAGGAGTTCCAGCAACTCGCAAAACAGTTGCTGCACAAAAAAGGCATGAGGTTTGATCACATGCCGCCAAGAATGGCGGTGGAAGTATTCTTGCAGAGGTACTCTAAGTCTGAGCGTGCCGACCATTACTTCACGCACGAACAGACACGTCAAGGTGTTATTGCGACGCTGGTGACGCCGTCTTTCTTTGGTTCCAGTTTTCGGGGTCCTGCCATGTACACGCAGACTCAAGCCGAAATATCCGCTTGCCAGCTTTTCATCACTGATAACTGCGTCCTCGAGGCTGCTGCGTGGCTCCCGCCTCCAATGGAGACCATTCGTAAGCTTGTTGCCCTCAGCAAACACCAGAAACAAGTGCTTCGTGAGAGGGGCTATGACACCACCGTGGTTCAGCGCGACCTGCTTAACTGTGTGTATGCAGGTTTTCGATCGCTCGGCTGCCGCAGCGCGGTATTTGACAACAATGCTTGACTGGGATGTGAAGTCCTGTCGTACAATTATTAATTCAACCAGTGGACTTGAGCTGTCGCGATTCGGGGGAGTTTCGTGGCATGGCCAAGCCTGCAGCTAAAATGTTGTTGAGCGATCTACCAATTTCGAAAGCCCACGAAGAAGTGCAGTTTCGTGATGCCTGCTTCACTCGCTCAGAATCTCGAGAAAAGGCTAGCTCCGAAGCCAAGAGCAGAGTGTCAGATGCATCGACTTGCACAGGCGTCAGATTCGTACCATTTCTTCGCAGGTCCGCCTTGCGCCGCAGAGAGGTGCACGAGGCAGTGCTTGTTCCTCGGGCAGCATCATGCGGTGCTGTCAGAAGAATGAGTCAGTATGTGCTGTGATTAAACCTGAAGCACTGCTGTCATGCCCAAACACCCAACTCTGTCTTTGCCAAAGCCGTACCTGTCCCAACCAGCTCGGTTTTGCATGTATCTCACGCTGCGTGAAGCAATGAACAGCGCATCCGTATTCCTTCGACGCCCCCCGTCGTACCAACCGCTGAAACGCTTCACCAGGGGCCCAGTGATCTCCTGACCTCCCCCGACTGTGCCCGGATAATGCCGTGCTTCCGACCTTGTTGCCTCCCAGAGAGAACCACACTGACACCCCTCTGGGAATACTCGCTCCACGCTTGCGAACGGATACCGCCCCACGAGTATGATCATGGACAGAGCAGAAGTGTCTTTATTGTGCGTGTCAAAAGTGTGTGAGCCCAAGCACAACAACTTGCCCGAAGCCCTACGCAGAGTTGTCAAGAAAGCTGGCGTAGCGAGGCTTTCGTTTCTCTCCGCGCAAGCAGTGGGCCGGGACCGCCGGCCCAGACGCAAACCAGTTGATATATCGAGCAACTCCCCGCCCCTCTCCAACCCCCACCCCCCCCGCCCTCACCGGGAGTTGTATGTTTCAGACGCGGTGGGGTTCAGGATTAAGGACAGCACAAATTCAGTGCACATGGTGCATGTCAGTGGCATTGGTGAGTTTGCGGTTAGGGTTAAGGCTTCTTGGGCATCAGCGATCTCAGAGATTAGGGTTTGGGGTTGAGCCTTTGGCATCTGTTTTTTTGTGGGATTAGGGTTTTGGCTTGAGGGTTTTGGAGCATCAGCGATCCTAGGGTTTAGGGTTGGGTTAGGGCTTGAGGGTTTGGGGTTTAGGATTTTGGGTTTTGGGGCTTAGGAGTTTAGGGTTTTGGGATTTGGGGTTGAGGGTTTCTGGGCCTAAGCGAGCTCAAGGTCTAGGGTTTGGGGGTGAGGGTTTAGGGCTTCGTCTTTTTGGGATTAGGGCTTTTAGGGTTTGATTTTCTGGGATTAGAGTTTTGGGTTTAGGGTTGAGATTTTTTCGGGGCATAGCGATCTTGGGGTTTAGGGTTGAATTAGGGCTTTAGGGTATGGGTTTTCCGATCTTTCAGCCTTGGGGTTTTGGGTTTCGGTTTGGGGGTCAGGTTTGAGGGTTTTGTGGTTTAGGGTTGAGGGTTTTTGGGCATCAGCGATCTCAGGGTTTAGAGTTTGTGGTTGAGGCTTTAGGGCTGGGTTTTCTGGGATTAGGGCTTGGTGGTTGGGATTTGGGGTGTAGGGTTAGGGTTAGGGTTTTGGGGTGAGGGTTCAGGGTTTAGGCTTTAGGGTTAGCGTTTTCGGGTTTGCAGGGTTGGATTAGGGCTTTAGGGTTTCGGCCTGGGTTTGCTTTAGCTTTTGCCCCTAACAGCGTCCAATGACCCCATCCCATTGCCCGAACCGTAACAATAACAATGTCCACTCCGCTCCCATCCCTTTACCAGAGCACCCGTGCCGGAACCGCAATAACGTCCACTCCCCCTGACCGGAGCATCTGATGCCCGAACCGGACCTGAACCGGGGCGTGTCCAAAACGCTCTCTCAGAGAGGCTGCGGAGACCGTGGTGGCAAGTGCAAATGCCAGTCTGTTTGTTGCATCGTAACTTTTCCTTCAGCTCGTGATTTCTTGACGTGTTCTGGGAATCCGTGCTGAGGAGTAGTAGTGCCAACTCGTTCACAGGTCGACAGCATGAAGGCCGTGCCGTCTTGCCGGCCTCTTGCCGCCCTGTGGCCCATGCTTCTGTGCTTCGGCAGGACGCAGGAAGTGGAGCCTGCGAGCAAGCTGCCGATCACCGACGAGCTCTACGACAAGTGCCGCAGCGCCGGAAAGGAGGCGCGATCGAATCCAAGCCGTAACGCCGGCAGGAAGTGCGTCTGTGAGGCTGGTGAGACCGCGAAAGCTACGGCCGTCGAGGTGGCATCCCAACTCACTTGGGCAAGTGTGAGCTGCCAACTGTGTCCCCTTGGCAGGCAACAGTGACGCTGCAAAGGGCATTGCGGGACACCAAGATGAGATGAGCTTGTCGTAATCGTATCGGAGTAGAGCGATTCGGAGCGTCCGCCAGACTCGGCTGTCACCGGTCCTTCGCATGGTGTGGATCTGAAGCCCGACCCTCAAAGGACAACTTAATGTATCCGTGGCCGATTGGCATCAGCACATCAGGAAAGGATTGCTGGTGCTCCTGCTCCCACAGGCACTGGCCTTGAACGAAAGAGTGCAGGAGAGTCGCAAGCCGTGTGTTGGTTCCGCTATCCGCTCAAGGAACGGCCTCTGTGCTTATTGCGGATTGGCAACGCCTGCTTCAAGAGGCCAGTCTCTTGAGGGACAGGGCTGTGACCAAGTTCGCATCCTACTGAGTGAGATCCGGAGCTTCAACAGCGATCGGCTTTTGACTTTTTGCTTGCACAATGCTCGGAATTTCGTATTTCACGGCTTGGCATATGGGCTTTGATGTCGAACTCTTGTTTCTGGTTGGGGATAAACGGAGGGTTCAAGCTTTGCATGGAAGGGCCGAGCTGAGTGCAAGTGCGCCGAAGTTCGCAGCTTGCAATCCCAACGATGTCGAAACAGAAGGCCATGTTTCGATGTCCTAGAGGTCCAAACGTTCACTGCGGGGGGGATGATCAAGCTGGTGTTCTAAGCTTCGCCGCAAATTTGCCGCGGGGGGCGGGGGGATGAGCGTGCATGCAGCGGTCAGGATTGGCAGTTGTTGAGTGTGAGCACACAAACGTCCGTGGCTCTGCTGCAGTGAGCGGTGCATTGTGGCATGTGGTGTCTGCACTGCGTGAGTTTGCAGTAACTCACTTTGGTACACGACATTCTACGACGAGTGGAATCGTACAACTGCTTTCAGCCGACTCTCTCCAGGCAGACACAATTGACTGCATCAATGCTGGCAAGACATCAGGTGAGCTCGATAGCACCGAATGGGTTAAACTGAATTTACGCCGGCGGATGAATGACTATGTATACCTGGCCGCAATCGGAGGCGTGGAAAGGACTTACCATGATTTCCGTGTGTCCTACTGTGGGCAATGCTTCTGATATGGAGTCATGTATACACACACGTTGTGTGTGTGTGTGTGAAGCAAAATCATGCGGATACTCAGAATGGGCTTCTGGGTGTTCACTGCAGGGCGTACGAGACATCTGCAGAAGAAAATAGTGCGTGCGAGCAAAACAGACGATGGCAGGGAGGATTTTCAGCCAGATGAAACTCTTTGCAGCGGAGGCACCGGGAGCCTTGAGCACCCCCAGGTCGACCGGACTCTCGCAGCCGGCTGCAGCGCGTGTAAGTCGAAGGCCTTTGGGTTTTGAATATCATGATGTTGGTTGTTTCTGAATGCATTTTCTAATCTTGATACGGCCTCCCCGACTGTTTTGAGTTTGTGGCTGATGACTTGCAGATAAGGACAAGGCTGGCTCTGGTCCTGTTGCAGTCTTTCCACTCTGAAGCAAGCTTTCATGAACATGAAGCCTCGAGGGCAAAAGGAAAGTATGCTGACGCTGCGCGGCGTTTCCGTAATGGTGATACAGCCGCCGGGAGGCACAACTTATCCTCGATGGCAGAGTCAGAAATTCTACAGAAAACTTAAATTTACATCACGGTCACGGACCTCCCAGGCTGTGCCGACAGCCAGCATCCTTTTGGGAGTTTGAGCCCTTGGCATTGTGTGCTCCTTGCCACGACCCCCAGACTTGGAACCAGCTGACTGCAGGCTGAAAAGAAGACCAACTTGCGAGTCGCGATCAAGGTGAAACTTCATTCTTGCATCAGCCATGAACTGGAAAGCATTGTGCAACTGAAGTTTTCTGAAAGCATTCCACCAGCAGTTGGCCTCTCTGAGGATTCTTCCGAACCTCTCCTCCCTCTCCTCCCCGTCCTGCCCTCTCCTCCCCTCTCCTCTCCTCCCTTCTCCTCCGTCTCCTCCCATTCCTCCCTCTCCTCGCTCTCCTCTCCTGCCTCTCCTCGCTCTCCCTCTCTACCCCTGTCCCCTGGTCCCTCCGTCCCCCTCTCGCGCTCGCGCCCTCTCTCGCTCTCTCGCTCTCTCGCTCTCTCTCCCTCTCTCCCTCTCTCCCTCTCTCCCTCTCTCCCTCCCTCGCTCTCGCTCTCGCTCTCGCTCTCGCTCGCTCTCTGGTATGCTGTCCGTGTCTGTCTGTGCGCCCGTGTGTGTTCCCAATTTTTCGTGAGAAGTTTGGCATGTATGATGAAAGAGTGTATGTATATAATATAGATAGAATATGATGTATGAATTGCATAATTATATCTGTCAGTGTGGTGCATGCACATCCAGGTAGGGAGTTGAGGGCGGACGGGCAACAAGACTTGCTGGAAGCGTTGTCCGCACGATACTGCACGCATCAGGCACACTGCTTGGACCTGGTCACGGAGCAGGCAGCAAGACTAGAGCATATGCCTGGTTCTTACCGGATGCTATGGCGTGCATGGCCCGGGTTCGGCCGTAATGACCATGAGAATTCTTTAGTCTTGATGCCGAGGTTGGGATGTGGCTGCACTCGTGGCCTTCGCGGGCTCAGCTGATGGCTGCACTCTAGAAGGCCTCAGCATCTGCAGCTGTGTGCAGACCTGTGTCGTGAGCAGACCTGCGTGGCATCTAATGGAGAGGCAGCCCTGCGTCCAGTGCATGAGAGAGACTCTTTGCTGTCAAAGCCCTCGGAAGATGTCGTGTCGAGGCTGGAAGATGTTCAGAACACCGACATGTACCTCTACGTAAATGGCCGCTACATCGAGCCGCCTCCGATACACGAGTCCATCGTGCGACTCTGCACGGCCGCAAGTCTCCAGGCACAAGAAGGCTCGGAGTTTAGACGCATTCGGTGCGTGTGTTTTGGCGAAACAGAACGTCAGCTGGGTTGTCAACATTTTCTTTCGGAGACCGTTAGCCCAGCATAGCAGAAGCCTGGGTGATTGAATCCGCTCGCAACGGCGGTGAAGCTGGTACTCGTAGCTGTGGCTTGAAGGAGCCCACTGGCCAGGGCGACTCGGTCAGCATCGTCGCAGCAGGAGGAGACGTCGGCTGCAACGTTGTTAGCGGCTAGCGCTGTTCGGGCACAAAGGCGCCAGACTAAGAACATGATGCGTTGACGGCGTTCAACCGGGCTCCAGTGGCAGGACCCTGCAACATCTACTTGGCGAGATGGCACCCTCACCATAAGAAGACAGAAGAGAGAGCCTCGAGAGAGTGCCGCGAGCGTAATGTGAGACGAATAGTCGAAGCGACTTGAAGCATAGAAAGAGCAGCTGCATCTGTGTCGAAGTGTACAGAGGAGTGCACAGATATCTCTTTTTTTTGCTGGCCGCGAAGCTGCGACGCTTCTCAGTCTCGGATCCACAACTGCGCCGTTCTGCAGGAGTTTGGCCGCTCTTCGTCCTGAACTTTCAGTGCCTTTTGGACTGCACCGAAGCCTTTGCTTTGCGTTTGCCATGCATTGCGCCACCTCGCCTTGCCATGATTCCCGAAAGACTGGTTCGACGTCGCGGTGGGTGGGTCCTCCTCCAGTCCCGGGCCCAAGGGAGAGTGCCGCTCTCCACAGGTTCAGCAACTGGAGGCAGCCGATCCGCTTCATTCAGATGTTCCTCCGCAAGGTCTGGCTTGGGCGGCTCTGCCGTTGTTTCAGAGTGCTATGGCGTGCACCGGTGGGTTGGATCTGTCGTGCAAAGGGGACCAGCGAGCCCCCAAAAGCATCGGAAAGCACCTGGAAGAGGTTCGCCGGCGATGTTGCTCATGACCACCTGCTTCTGAGGTCACCTTCGAATGCCTGCTTGTGCACAGGACAAGGTGCTCCGATGCGGCTAACATCGTGCCGCTGCTCGCCCCGAGGCTTCGCCGCAAACGGGTGCTGGGTTGAAACAAGGGCTCATTCTTCTTGCGTGCGGCTGCCAGGATAGCAGTTGCACGTGGGCCGGCTGCGCCGTGCCAGACGATGTCACCTGAGGGCACGGCTCGCCCCCAAATTAAGGACCTAATCCCTCCGATCGCTGCGATCGAAGCTTTTGAGAAGGAAATTCGGATCTTTGCTGGCAACAACCACTCGACCCTGCCCCAGCCATCCCCCACCCTGCGAAGGAGGCAGAGTAGTTAGTGACCAGCATCGTTAAGAAAAAGGACAGGCATGTGAATGCATTCAGGGGAGCGCTGCAGTTGCACATCCACACAGTAAGGCCACGCACCCAGTGCTTTCGCGAAGGGATGAAGCTGCAGAATGACTTCTTGCTAGCTGCTGGAGCTTTGGGCTCACAGTGCGGACAGGACCAACAGCATTGACAACGCTCACGTAATTATGGGGCACGATCAGATCGTGTCTCGCATGAAGCAGAAACGATGTGCTTCAGGCTACCACTCGCTGGAAAGTCGCACCGATAATGGTGCCCTGCTTCGCACTGCCCCCAGCCATGCCCAAAGAGGCTCTGGCAGAAGCGGCCGCTCCGTCTGAGACACCATGCCGGCTGCACTGGTCTGCTGCTCGCTGCAGGAGCTTTGAGCTTTCTTGAGCTTTGGGGTGTCCCCGTGATGACGCCGATTTGTTTATGCATGCGTTGGGTATTGGTTCACGTGTTCGGTGACTTCCGCAACCGAGCCGGCCATGAAGAGGCTTCCTGCAAAGGGGTCTCGGATCGGAACTGCGGGGCCATTTACTGAAAAGTGGTGGTCTCGCACGCTCGGCTCGGTCGCGGTCGTCGTCGTTCACAAGCCCTCACCCCTGCTTGCACTTACTTGTATAACTTGTAGCTTCGTCTGTCATGAAGGTGGAAGGCGCGCGTCCGTTTCTGCATAAACATAGATACCTGCCCAGAGGAATCCACGCACATTTTCGAGCACTCGAGAAGCCGTGGCAGAAGCGATGAAGGCCGGCGGAGGGAATGAGATGTTGTCTGTCCCTTACTTTCTCCTCGTGCAGACATGGGAGGTCGGGCGGGTGGAATGAAGTGTAAAACCTGACGATGTGTTTTCACAGGCTCGCCGTGTTCCTTAAGGATGGCTCGGGCGGGCGGCGGGGAGCGGGGTGGGGCGCTGGCGGTTGGTGCAGCTGGTGGAGTTTTGCAGTTTGGGAGGCGGTGGAATTTGGTTTCCGAGGACATCCTCGAAAACAAAGGCTGGCGGCAGAGTTTCCACGCGCAGACCCCGACGGTGCTTACAGTTGATGGGGCGGGTGGTGCAACGAAGCTTTCCTGTGGCTGAACACACTCTTCAGCTTTCATTTTCTTTAGTGGTGGCAGGCATGGTCGGCCGAGCCGGTGGAAAGAGTTGCTTTTCTCGCACGGCTCTTTGATCTTTTGCTACTGGAAAGAGTTCTGACGTGTGCAGACCTACTATAGGCACGTGTGCGAGAGGGGCGGCATTCGGGTGGAATGAGTTGCTTTCCCGAACTCGCTCCTTTTTGTGTTGATGGAAGCATTGGGCGCTTTCTGCGGGTGCTCGCATGCGGGGGCGGGCCGCTGGAATGAATTGTTTTCGAGTGAGAGATGGGTAATTTCGAACTTAGTCCCTCAACAATGCTGCAGTTTTTGCTTGTGGAAGAGTTGGCCGTCTTGCAGAGGGGTTGGGAGGAGGGGTGTACGGGCAGGCGGCTGGAATGACTTCATTTTCCCAGATGAAGGTGAACTTGCAAAAGTTATCAACAGTATCCGACATGCTGACTAAGCAGCTGCTGGGCACAAGGAGTCTTGACAGGTTTGTTCATGTTGTCGTGGTCGCACCACGTACGAGGCCAACAGGCACAGGTGGGGCAGCAGCCAGAAGCTGGGGTTCAGGGCCGACATAACGAACGACATGTTTCCTGGTGCAAGTTGAGCATGCTGCACAGAACCAGCGATACGAGCAGACGCAGATACACTATGTCCGCTGGGTATACCTTCCAGTCAGGGTGCAGAGTTGCAGCGAGTTTGAACAGGGTTGGATCCGAAACGCAGAAAGCGAACGCATCAGAACACGCTGGCTCTTTGGTTGCGCAGCAAGCGCAGTTCGCAGAGGCACAGGTTGGAGACAGAGCGGTGAGCTGTTGTTGTCGGAAGCTGCACGCCGTGGCAGTAGATGAGTAAATTGAGTAGATGGGGCCACCATCGGGTCCATCTCGGCAGAGCCTGTTAGGGGAGCTGCAGGAAGCATGTGTACTGTGTACTGGCGGGCTTCAACTTGATTTTGCTACGTCAGGCTCGACCTGTTGCAGAACAAAAGCACTGCACGCTGGGCGCTGAGAAGTAGCAAGATGGGGCACGGGTGGCGATGGACTGGTGAAATGAGTTGTTTTTGCCAGTCATTCCTGGAGTTATGCTGCTGGAAGACGTGGGTCGTCGCTCGCGTCGATGAGCTGCTGGTACTTTGTCGGAGGGGAGAGTGTGGTGAAATGAGTTGTTTTTGCCGGTTATTCCTCGAGATATGCTGCTGGAAGCCGTGGGTCGCTCGCCTCGATGAGCTGCTAGTACTTTGTAGGAGGGGAGCGTGTGGTGGAATGAGTTGTTTTCGCCGGTCATTCCTGGAGTCATGCTGCTGGAAGACGTGGGTCGCTCGCCTCGAGGAGCTGCTGGTACTTTGTAGGAGGGGAGAGTGTGGTGGAATGAGTTGTTTTTGCCGGCCATTCCTGGAGTTCTGCTGTTGGAAGACGTGGGTCGCTCGCCTCGATGAGCTGCTGGTACTTTGAAGAAGGGGAGAGTGCGGTGGAAAGAGTTGTTTTTGCCGGTCATTCCTGGAGTTATGCTGCTGGAAGACGGGGGTCGCTCGCCTCGATGAGCTGCTGGTGCTTTGTAGGAGGGGAGAGTGTGGTGGAATGAGTTGTTTTTGCCGGTCATTCCTGGAGTTATGCTGCTGGAAGACGTGGGTCGCTCGCCTCGATGAGCTGCTGGTACTTTGTAGGAGGGGAGAGTGTGGTGGAATGAGTTGTTTTTGCCGGTCATTCCTGGAGTTATGCTGCTGGAAGACGTGGGTCGTCGCTCGCGTCGATGAGCTGCTGGTACTTTGTAGGAGGGGAGAGTGTGGTGGAATGAGTTGTTTTTGCCGGTGATTCCTGGAGTTATGCTGCTGGAAGACGTGGGTCGTTCGCCTCGATGAGCTGCTGGTGCTTTGTACGAGGGGAGAGTGTGGTGGAATGAGTTGTTTTTGCCGGTCATTCCTGGAGTTATGCTGCTGGACGCCGTGGGTCGCTCGCCTCGATAAGCTGCTGGTACTTTGTAGGAGGGGAGAGTGTGGTGGAATGAGTTGTTTTTGCCGGCCATTCCTGGAGTTATGCTGCTGGACGCCGTGGGTCGCTCGCCTCGATAAGCTGCTGGTACTTTGTACGAGGGGAGAGTGTGGTGGAATGAGTTGTTTTTGCCGGTCATTCCTGGAGTTATGCTGCTGGACGCCGTGGGTCGCTCGCCTCGATAAGCTGCTGGTACTTTGTAGGACGGGAGAGTGTGGTGGAATGAGTTGTTTTTGCCGGCCATTCCTGGAGTTATGCTGCTGGACGCCGTGGGTCGCTCGCCTCGATAAGCTGCTGGTACTTTGTAGGAGGGGAGAGTGTGGTGGAATGAGTTGTTTTTGCCGGCCATTCCTGGAGTTATGCTGCTGGAAGACGTGGGTCGCTCGCCTCGATGAGCTTGCCTGTCATGCTGTGCCTGCAGGTAGCCATCAATCAGGTAGGGTCGCCCGTTGCAAAGCTTCTTGGCCTTGACTTTGGGAGCTGCCGAAACCGGGTGGAGCGGTTTTTGTGCTCTCAGGGCCGCCATGGATGGCCAGGGCCGCAAATTTGCGGGAGCCCAGCGCCGTCAAGGCGCATGCCGGCTTCAGACGCTGCCATGGTGCCGGGCAGCCTTTTCCGCGCGAAGGTGATGGTGGGCATTCGCTGAGCCAGTTCAAGGAGAGACGGAAATTTAAATTGAGTGTATGTTTGGTGGCAACCGCCTGTTTTAAGTAAGTGCGGTCGCCCGGCTCGTGCAGAGGACTGCTGGGTGGAGTGTGGCAAGGAAGGTTTCAGACCCACAACGTCAGAACTTGAATTTGCGCCGGTATTGGCTTCCGATAACATCAAACAGAAACTGGGTAGGCAATGGCCCCTGATAATGCAACTTGAGTTTAGATAGGTATCGAACCTCAACAACGAAACCTGAATTTAGATGTGTACTGACCAACAAGACCAACAAATTGAAACTGGATGGGCATTGGCCAGTAAGAAGGAACTGAATGTTGCTAGGCATCGAACCGCCACAAAAGCAAACTAAATCCAGATGGGTATTGACCCACAAGACCAACAAACTGAACTTAGATGGGTATTGGGTATCGACCCACACCAACAAAACAGCTGCAATACGACTAGGTATTGACTCGCAGCATTTATATCCTCAAATGGTTGACTTTGGATAGATAAAGCTGAATTTGGATTAGTAGCGACCCGGACCGGGAGAAATGAAGAATTGACTTCGGATGAGTAATATCCCATGTGATCGACAACTTATATTTGGATGGTTACTCGCAGCAACATAATAAGTAAAATTTGCATGTGTATTCACCCCACATAGCAATCACGGAAAATGAATAGTTCCCGACCCACAACAATAAACTTGCGTTAATAAGTATCCGCCCACACTGTCAAAACACAGTATTGATCAGTATTGCATAAATACTGGTTCACAGCGCCGACAAACAATCTAGATGTATAACGGCAACAACAAGACGTACAACAGCAGCAGCAACAACGAGCAGGTGTCGACCCACAACAACCAACCTGATAGGGGGCCGCGGGCCCGAACACGGCAACGTGCTTTATCCCGTTGACCTTCACATCTCCTGTAGACATAGGGCCAGGGAAGTGCGAGTGTACGAAAACATGACGCGAAGACATGACACGAAGATACTCTCTAAGACGCGCTAAAGGATTTTCACGGTTCCTAAAACTCTGCAAACTTCATTCCGGTGTGGATATAAGCACCCGCCAACTATAGTTGGAATCTCTCAATGATACTGAACAACTGAACTTGGACGGAAATTGACCGACAACAATCGCAGTTTGAATTTGGATGGGTATGTGCCCAGCCAACAGTGCAACAAACATCAAGTGAGTATTGAGCCATATCAGCCATATCAATAGTACCGCAAAGGTGGATGTGTAATGATTGACACCTAACAGTTCGCCCTGCAGATTAAACATTAAAGTCCGGCTGGCCGCCATTCTGGCCTGAGCCAGGAACGACTTTAATATTGGAATATTAAAGTATGTAAACATTAAAGTCCGAGCAGGGGCTTTAATGTTTAATCCGCAGGGCTGCAGATTAAAGCCCCAGCGTGAACTTTAATGTTGAAAAACATTAATATTTCAATATTAAAGTCGTTCCTGGCTCAGGCCAGGATGGCGGCCAGCTGGACTTTAATGTTTAATCTGCAGGGCCTTACTTTAACATTAAAGTCTCGCCCTGCAGATTAAAGCCCCAGCGTGGACTTTCATGTTAAAGCACGTTAATATTTCAATATTAAAGTCGTTCCTGGCTCAGGCCAGAATGGCGGCCAGCTGGACTTTAATGTTTAATCTGCAGGGCCTTACTTTAATATTAAAGTCTCGCCCTGCAGATTAAAGCCCCAGCGTGGACTTTAATGTTTACAAACTTTAATATTTCAATATTAAAGTTGTTCCTGGCTCAGGCCAGAATGGAAGCTGGCCGCCATTCCCTAAACCCTAAACCCTAGACCCTGAACCCCTAAACCCCCTGAACCTAAACCCCTAAAACCTGAACCCCTGAACCCCTTAAACCCCTAACCCCTAAACCCCTAGCTCCTTAAACCCCTAACCCCTAAACCCCTGAAACCCCTAAAACCCCTAACCCCTAAACCCCTTAAACCCCTAACCCCTGAACTCCTTAAACCCCTAACCCCTAAACCCCTGAAACCCCTAAAACCCCTGAACCCCTAAACTCCTTAAACCCCTAACCAAACCATGGCCTGAGTCAGGAACGACTTTAATATTGATATATTAAAGTTTTTAAACATTAAAGTCCGAGCAGGGACTTTAATATTTATTCCGCAGGGCTTTACTTAATTTTAACGCTACGCCGCCCGCCTCGGCTCTTTAGCGGCAGGGCGAGGGGGCGGTCGATGTTGTATACATGCTAGGGTGGCCTCTCAACCCCAACCTTTACACGCTATGCAAGTGCGGAAACGCCATCTTTTTGGGGGGGAGGGGTGGGCCTGTGGCCTCGGCGGATATGAAAGTCTCGCCCTGCAGACTAAAGCCTCAGCGTGGACTTTAATGTTTTAAAACTTCAATATTTTATTTAAAGTCGTTCCTGGCTCAGGCCAGAATGGCGGCCAGTTGGACTTTGATGTTTAATCTGCAGGGCGTTACCACTGTCAATATCATCGGTTTAGACGCCAATGGCGATGTGGTTGTTTCTTGACTCTGACCAAGGAACTATGAACCTCAGCTTGCATAGCCAGGATTAAAGTTTCGTCGCACTTGCATATAGGCTCATGCGGAGTACGCGGAAATGCATTTCACGTAGCATCGCTACCGGGGGGAGCAACATACATACACAGTGCAACGAACTTTCGTTCTACCGCAGTATGCCTCAAACTCTAACCGTCTAACCCTTCACCCTAAATCCTGAAGTCCTTTCCATCAGCGGATTCAACCTCAGCTTCTGCTCCGAAGCGGGAAAGAATTCCATAGTACCGCCCCCTGGCCCACAGCCTGGAAACCCCACAGCCCGATCAACTGCTAGGCCCGGGGGACTTGGAAGCATAGAATGAGCAGCTGCATCTGTGCCCCGTTCTTCATGTACGGAGGAGTGCACACATATCTCTTTTTTGACAACAGCTGCTGGCCGCGAAGCTGCGACGCTTCTCAGTCTCGGATCTACAACTGCGCCGTTCTGCAGGAGTTTGGCTACTCTTCGTCCTGAACTTTCAGTGCCTTTTGGACTGCACCGAAGCCTTTTGCCATGCATTGCGCCACCTCGCCTTGCCATGATGCCCGAAAGACTGGTTCGACGTCGCGGTGGGTGGGTCCCTCCTCCAGTCCCGGGCCCAAGGGAGAGTGCCGCTCTCCACAGGTTCAGCAACTGGAGGCAGCCGATCCGCTTCATTCAGATGTTCCTCCGCAAGGTCTGGCTTGGGCGGCTCTGCCGTTGTTTCAGAGTGCTATGGCGTGCACCGGTGGGTTGGATTTAGTTTATGTATCGCCAGGGAGCGCGGTGGCGAGAGGAAGCGCCGGACCCTGCACAGAGGCCAGAACCGAGTCCCAGACTCTGAGAGGGGTGGCACGCTAGTCGGGTCGAGATCTGTCGTGCAAAGGGCACCAGCGAGCCCCAAAAAGCACCGGAAAGCACCTGGAAGAGGTTCGCCGGCGATGTTGCTCATGACCACCTGCTTCTGAGGTCACCTTCGACTGCCTGCTTGTGCACAGGACAAGGTGCTACGATGCGGCTAACATCGTTCCGCTGCTCGCCCAGAGGCTTCGCCGCAAACGGGTGCTGGGTTGAAACAAGGGCTCATTCTTCTTGCGTGCGGCTGCCAGGATAGCAGTTGCACGTGGGCCGGCTGCGCCGTGCCAGACGATGTCACCTGAGGGCACGGCTCGCCCCCAAATTAAGGAACTAATCCCTCCGATCGCTGCGATCGAAGCTTTTGAGAAGGAAATTCGGATCTTTGCTGGCAACAACCACTCGACCCTGCCCCAGCCATCCCCCGCCCTGCGAAGGAGGCAGAGTAGTTAGTGACCAGCATCGTTAAGAAAAAGGACAGGCATGTGAATGCATTCAGGGGAGCGCTGCAGTTGCACATCCACACAGTAAGGCCACGCACCCAGTGCTTTCGCGAAGGGATGAAGCTGCAGAATGACTTCTTGCTAGCTGCTGGAGCTTTGGGCTCATAGTGCGAACAGGACCAGCAGCATTGACGACGCTCACGTAATTATGGTTGTCAGTGCTTTTTCACAGCACTCCTCTGTGGCTGCTCTTGGATGCAAAAGTTTGATTCTCAAGAGAGCGTGAAACAAGACACGAGGTCAGACCTAAACACATCATTACAGAGTTCAGGGCCTTGCGTGGAACTTTCACTTAGCCGTTTCTTCTACTAAACGGGCCTCAAAATTCCAACACTGACACTAGAGTCTGCTGTTGTGATGCTCACAAAACTAGCCGCGAGAAAAGGCTTTGCCCAGCAAAACACATCCCGACAATTGTCAACTTCCTGAGCAAAGCTCTAGAAGATCGCGCCACCATGGCATCTCGCTTGGTGTGGCGGCCTAAAGCGAAAACCTCAGCCAAAACCCACCAGTCATTTCTGATATCAATCCTGGTGCTATGCAGTTGGTTATCGGATTGGTGGATTGCATCATTGCAGGTGTTTGGATTTGTGCGGATATGTTCCAGATTTGTTGCCTTCGTAGATGATCGAAGCTCTCTGTTGCTGGAACATGCGAGCAAAGCACCTGCAGGTATATTCCTGCTGGACGCCAAATGGGTGGCAGAATTGGCGCAGGAAGGCAACGGCTTGTTGAGCTTAAAAGCACGTTGCAGAAATTGAGTCGCAGCAGACCATGAGTTTCGCCCATGCTTTTTGCGCGGATGGCCCTCCCGGGTGATATGGATCGTTAGCATGCATCCAAACCCTGTTCGCCGAAACGTGACCTCGCAGGTTCCTGTGTGCTAGGCTGGCAAACCCTAAGGCCCCAAACCATGGAATCCTGAACCTCGAAACACCCCCCCCCATAAACCCATGAGGCTGATCCCTAAATTAGGATCCCTTTCAGGGTCCTTTTTAGAAGGGTGCCGCCTTCTTGTCGGTTCCTAAAGAGGGACCCTAATCTGGAGAAGTATCCCTGAGCCACCCCCTTGCAGGCTATCCAAACCTCCCTGTCGCCTTCTCCACCTCCGCCTGAGCAGTCGTCAGCTCGCGGAGGCTCCTTTGATGCCCGCGAGACCACTTAGACGACAGTCGTACTAGATTGCGACAGGCGACGCAGCGAGCATTGTGCACGGCTCCATCCAGACAGCGCAGGACCCGACAGGCCAGCATTTTCCACACGATCGTTGAATCCGCATGTGTTGCCCAGCCAAGAGGGTTCCTGGCATTGGAATTGCATCACGCACCTTTTGCTGATGTGTTGGAAAGTAGTCACGTTGAGCCGCTGTGTTCAGGTGGTGCCTCGACTGGCTCTCCCTCCTTTGGAGGAGTTTGCGCGTGACAGCAGAAGAAGATGTGCCCTTCCGAAAGCGCAGCATGCGACCTTGGAATCCCCAGGAGGGTCCACAAGCTCCATGGCATCGCACGGCGCTGGCTGGGCCCTCGAACAGCTAGCAGCTAGTCTTTTCACGCGGCCTGCACTCATTATCGGTTCCAAGAATGGGCGTCCTTCGACTTCCCGGAACCTGCAGCCTCGCCGTTACCATCAGGCCGCCATCCTAAGCATGCGTGATTCCCGACGCAAGCATGAGGTTTTGGAGGGCTGTTCTGCAATGCAGGTCGCAGGGCTTCTAAGGAGGGCGACTTTTGTGCAGCTGGGAAAGGGGGTTCTGTGTTTGCTCGTCACCTCGAACGGGTTCGGCGTGTCCAGTTCCACGCCAGCTCAGCCGGTTCCTAGCAGGAAGCTCCTCTGGTTCCTCGCCGTTTGCGATCGGCTGGGCACCTAAGTGCCGACCGATGCCTTAGGCTTTGCACTGCGCCTTCCAAGCAAAGTCTTAGGAGCGTCATTGGGCCCGGGACTCTTTGGAGGTGGGGACGAGAAGCAGGCTCGCTGATGCTTTCTATGCGCAGTGGCTGTCGTTGTCATGTGTATGCGGCCTGGGGCAGGCCCTGCGGCGCATTCAGGCTGCAGCTTCAAGTTTATGTGGGTGAGATTTCCTGGAGTTGGGCAAGCTTTCTCTAGGCTCCTCCCGAGTACACATTCGAGATGGAGATAGAGGAGAAGGATCTCGAGATTCTCTGGCTGAAGGAGGCGCATCCGTGGTGGTAACATGTTGCTGTTGGTCCTGTTGGTGTCGTTCTCCTGCCATGAACAAGGCCTTGGCGCTTGGGGCGCTGCAAGAAGCGGAAGCTTCCAGGTTTCGGTTCCCGCTCATGCGGAAATTGTGGCATGGCAAGAAATTGCAGCGTGGAGTAGCGTTCGCGTGTCAGTTAAGAGCTCCGCACTGCCAACCTCAGGCAAGCATTCTGCGACTTCCTGTGGCCTCCAGCGCGCACCATCGAGTTTGAGATGGAGTAAAGAGAACCGGACAGAGCTCCTATTCGCTGAGTTTGCTGTGTGGTAGCGCACTTGATGACGGCTACTGGTACAACCAGGATAAACTTAAACGGTGATAGATGGCGGTCATTTTGGGATCTCGGCGTGAGGTTGCATTGAACGCTATAGGCTATAGGTTTCGGGTTTACGGATGTACAGGGATCAGAGAGATGAACGGTTCAAGCATGTTTCAGTAGACGCAGGCTGTAGCCGTCTAAAAGCGTCCACCGTTTCAGGAAGAAGTCGTACGTAGTCGTGCTCGATAGCACGTCCTGCTGCAACGACCATGTCGTTGGCTCAAAGACTGGGCCCTTACCTTCGACGGCTCCTCCTTTAGGCGGGCATGTTTCTGGGTAGCGTACTTGAGCCACTTGCAAATGGAGCGAAGTGGAATCTTGACAGGTTGGCATGTCGCTCTTGAGCGCGGATGTCCGACTCAAGCTGGAAGAGTTCGTCAGGAGGTGCAGTGCATATGGTTTGCGTGCGCGCTTTGATCTGTATCGGGATGCATGTTGCCAGTCCTAAGCCCTGCCCTGGGGCCAGGAGGTCAAGCCTCTCACTTTCCTCAACTTTGTATTTGATGAACGACAGATGGAGAATCAAACATGCTGAACAAGACGATTGCACTTTTGCCAAAGTAAAGCTGCGCAGCGTTATTGCTCGAACGCCGTTTAATCACGAAAGCTCGCTTACTAGAGCTGGAGTGACGTCTTGCTTTATGCCAGGCGTTGTTGATAGTATCAATTTATGAGGGGTGGGGGGCGGGGTAAATTGAACTGTCCACACGAATTCGCTGGTTTGGGGGGCAGTGGGGGGAAGGAGGGGAAATCAATACCCGAGTTTTGCAATAACTCCAGCAAAGCAGCAGCTATGGAACTCATCTGCGGTTGCTTCCTGCACACATGCTTGCGGACACAACGCACTCTGACAGAATTCTTAGAACAACAGTCCTCCTCCGCCTCCTCCTCCTGCTACTACTGCTACCACCACGACCGCGACCACTACCACTACGACTACAGCTGCCACGACGTGACGACGACTACAACTGCTGCTACTGCTACTGCTGCTACTACTACTACTACTACTCCCACTTCTTCCACTACTCCTATTCCTACTGCTACTGCTACTGCTAGTTTTGCAGAAAGGACGTCCAGTAATGTCCATTTCCACAGACCCCCTCCCCCAGCAGCCCATGCGAGGACAGAGAAGACAGAAGACCCTCGCGACCGAATCATCCAGGTTCCAGATGTATCCAGTGGATTTGCGGAGCAAAGCGTTTGAAGTGTCAGGACAAGGACGCTCAGATTCAAAGTCTGCGACGCCAGCTGGAGCGGCAGCAGCAGCAGCAGCAGCAAAACCCCAGCTGCGGCTGTGTTGAGCTCAACGTTTTGGAGATGCTTGCTTTATGTTCCTTTCCAGTCTTGACATTGCGTCACCTGGCTGAGGCTTCGAAGGTGTCTTCTTCCAGTTCAAGAGAACAGGTCATGATCAGTTGGAGCTGTAGCTTGCATTGCTTCTGAAACGGCACATCGCCAGGCAAACTTACGTCGCGGACGGGATGCACAGAGGCAGATGGGCTGCAGCAATAATACAAGTAAATGCTAGTCTGCACGTCTCTGGCTGGTAGCAGAGCGTTGCAAGTTGATCTGCAAGGAAGGGGGAGCACACCGAGGAGCCGCATCAACTGACAGTCATGGAGCCCGTTACTCAGAAATTTCCTGAGCCAGTAAGGCAGCAAATGCGGGATTTGCAGCGGCACATGCCAGGCTTCGCAGCTCTTGCCGAAATAAAAGAATCGACAGCAGGGGATTCAAGGCGAATTTGGTTGCAACGCAGAATTTTTCGAGCTCTTTGTAGCCCCAGCGCGATGCTACCACAGTGCCGCAATTATGTGTCACCCCGGCAACCAGGAACGTTTGGTTGAAGTGGCGCCTCAATCGACGTCCAAGGTTTTGCACAAGCCGCGGGAGTACCCTGCACACTTCTGGCCACTGGAAGGACGCGCGAGTGCCACGTCCTGAAGAAAGTGGGCTTTGGATTCTGCCGACAAGGTCTCGATGAAGCCTGCACGCATTTGTGCGCTGTGCGAAGTTCCTGGCAGGTCGGCGCAAGTAGGTCAGGAGGTGGGCGGGCTTGTGGGGCAGCCGTGCCTCCCCATTTGTGACGCAAGCGGCAGATGCTTTGCGGGAGGTCGTATCATCCCCTGCGAAGAAGTTGCGAGTGGCAGGCTTACAACCCTACATGCTAGAATTTGGCAAGCTAGAAGACAAGCAAATGATCAGCTACTTTGCTGTTCTGAGTTCTGAGGCCTTGCCGCTGGTAGGACACCGTGCGTGGGGGCTGCAGGCCTCAGGCAGCCGAAGCGAGCTCGCGGTCCGCGTTGCAGCGGCGCCGAAGGCGAAGCGCTGGTGGTCGTCTATATAGGCTAAGACGTACTCCATACTGCTGGTTCGTCCCATTGTCGATGCTCATGCATTAGGAGTGGCGGCTACTTCGGCACATGCAATATTGCACAAGCAGTTACCTCGCACTCGGCACCTTCGGCCTTGCATGCGGCATCGGTCGATTGACTTTCCCCGCTTCCGTGTGAACGCCAGCATGCAGTGGCCATGCGCACATGCCACAATCAATCCCGCGTATCTTTGCCGATGGCACCTCGACCCATGCGAATAACGTACGACAGCCAAGTTGACCAAGCAAGACTTCTTGGGCCACCCTCGCACAGGAGTCAGAATCACTTGCAATGCTTTGCTTTTTTGGCCTGTCAGCGCATCGGTTTTTTGTTTTAATTATGTTCGTGGCGGGGAGCATGCTGTCGGTTCAGGAGTGCCACTTTATAGAATTATACTCGTCGCACACCCCGACAGCATCCTGAACAGAGATTGACACCCTGACGAGATGAAACGGCGGCGATTCCAAAACCACGAAAAGGAGACGATGAAAGCCAACATTGAAAAGAAGACTGACGGTGGCGAGCATACAAATTCGTGACTCTTGTTCTCTTGGGCGTTTGTTTTCGCAGATGTACCTGATGTGCCGTATTTTCAGGTGGAGGGCATGTGTTTTGTACTGTGATTGTGGCGCAGGAGAGCGATTACAACAGTAAAAAGTGCATGATTTCGGCATACCCACGCACCCACCCACCCCCACCCACCCATTCCCCCACACACCCACACCCACACCCACACACACACCCACACACACACACACAAACACACACACACACACACACACACCCACACACACACACACCCACACACACACACAAACACACACACACACACACACATGCACGCACCTGCAGAGCCATCCCTGAATCAGGCTGCGAGTGCCAGAAGCCAGGCCGGGGTGTCAGAAGGTCACCTAGCACCATCTTTGGCTGCAGTATGCTGCAGTTCTGTGCAGGTCGAGCCTGCTCCGTCACATCCTCGTAACGGCATCTTAGCTAGGGGATGATGCCTGTGGCTGCACAGGTCACAAGAGACCGAAGCTACACCTTCGGCAGAAGAGGTGCCAACACGCCCTCCCTGATGCCTGGAGAAGCTGTGATCTGCCCGGAGGTCACTGCCATGGAAGGCCTCTCCGTGGTGGCGTTGCAAACTGCCTGCCCGCATCCTGTCGACAGGATTGCGGGAGGTGTTCTGCCATGTCTTGGTGTCTCTAAGGCCGCGCTTGTGGCCTCAATGCTGTGGCTGACACAGCGGACCTCACAGCCCGGCTGGCCGTGCATGCGGCATGCGAGGCCGAGACTGGTGGTGCGAAAGGCACGAGCATGCACAAGCAGCATCACGCCTCTTGCAGGAGCCTGTCAAAAGACCGGAGGACCTTGGTGGGGGCTGTTCATTTCTCGTACGGGCGTTGTGGCTGTACTTTGTTGCGAGGAGACCGAAGAGTTGCACGGACAGCAGCAAATTGTCGAAACACCCACCGCCCTCTCACCAGAGGAAGTGATTGAGCCAGCGCCCTCGGAGGGTCTCGATGTTGCAATTGCCGGCGCAGACGCGAGCAGCGCCGACGGTGCAAACCGATTCGCGCAGCCATCAGAGGATATGCATGCGAAGGAACTGCCTGTCACGGAGCAGCTGGACTTGGTGCCCTCACAGCTGTCGATTGATTCTATTCCGGCGGCTCAGCTAGATTGGCCTTGGCCGCAGGATGGGGGGGGCGGATCCCAGACGAGCCTGAGAAGTCCGGTAGACCCCGGCACTTCACAGCCGTTAGACGAGGGCTTTCGTGCAGGCCTCACGTTGATACACCCAGTGGAGCTTCGGCACCTTTCGGAGAGAGAGCTGCTGAACACGCTGCTGGTTCACTTTGCTTGTGGCCCCCAGCCCACTCCGACCCAGCATGCTCGCACTCGCATCCTGCAACAGCAGCCTGCCCCTTTGCCATCCGCTCCTGCCACTGCCGCTCTTGCGACGCGCCCTCCCACCAAGTCGAAGACGAAGGCAGCGAGCTCTCCGCCACCCAAAGCCCCCCCGCAGCAACGCATTGATCCGGAGCCAGCGAAATCTATAGCAGCACAACAATGTAAGCTGCAAACACTGCCAACGTCTTCAGAAGCAAAGGCCAGCAATGTGCAGACAGTGCAAACAGCTATCGTCCAAGAAGTCGAGCAGATGCAGCCCCTAAAGCCCGTGCAACGAGCACCTTTAGCTCATCCCTCGCTGGTGCGACGCCAGCGCCGCCCTGGAGCGGCAGTTGCTCCCAGTTTCTCGGCACTTTGGCAATCAATGTGCACATCGCTGCCCAAACAGCACAGCGAGAATCCTGACAAGGCGGATGCAGGCGCTCAGAGCTCGGCTGATTGCAGCAAGGGCTTTCAGACGTGCCTTGGCCAGGTGTCGGCCTCACAGTCCGTCGTGTTGGCATGCTGCCAGCCCATGTGGGAGACAGATTCGCTAGATCCCGGCAGACGCGGTCGCGCAATCGGACAAAAGCTGCGGGCTCCTGCCATGCCTGGACGGCGGCAGGCGCTTTGGCAGCATTACGTTGCAGATGCAGCTTGCGAATGTCCGAATGTCACATGTTCCTGAATCTCCAGGTCAGGTGCTCATGTGGGACACAGCAAACCTGTTTGTGCTCGCTTTGTCTACTGCGCCAGGCGCGAGCACGTGCAATCGTGAGTCTTGCAAGATCAAGGTGTAATCATTGCAGCGAGGCAAGCTCCATGCTGGCGACGTTTCGAGACCGTGTGTCGATGAGTTCAAGCCATGCCCGGACAAAAGCGCCAGTAGAGCCTTGGCATGATGCGGCTGCACGATTGCTTTCAGCAAGTGCTGTGGATTGTGGCGCACTTAGGAACCAGAAAGGGAGCTCCAGACGACACCAGCAGTCCGCAAGAGCATCACCCGAAGCTTGCTCGACAAGATGCGGCGCTACATGCCGGACATGGAAAGCAGACCAAAGTTTCAACAGCAGCAGCAGAAGCCGGCAATTGGCTTTCCCAGGACAGCTTGCATCCCTAACAGGATCGCCATGTAGCTTCGTGTTGTTTGTAATGCTAGAACAAGTCGAACATGCGTAACTCCCCGTGGTTCACAGTGAGAAAGTGCGAGGAAAAAGCTGTCAGCAGCTCAGCTATTGGCAGAATGAGTTGCACTGCTGTTGCGTGCGATGCGACTTTTCCTGTTGCACAGGTGTCGAGGGAGAATTCGAACAGGACACCAGCACTGCATAGGGAATCAGATCCCTCAATAGCTCAGCTTCGCCTGCAGAGTGAATGCTTGGTCAGCGAATGAAGCAATTAAATGCTCCAGGAACGAGCGCAAACGGGCAACACCGATGCCTGATGAGGCAGCAGAAGCTTTGCAACTTAGACAGATTCTTGATGCAGAGGAACGTTTGCTTCAATGTTTGCATACGTTCTTGAGCATGTGCTTCGCCAGGAGCTTCCTGGAAAGAGAGCCCGAGACAAGGACTTCGATCATATAGTAATCTAGAAAGGATATCCAATGCGCAGGTATCCACTTCGGATGTGTTTTAGACTTCGCTGTTCTTGAACTTGTTTCGAGGCCAAGCTTCCAGGCCTCTCCCAACGCATTGGGCTTTCGCCGAGGCGGGTTAGATTGTGGAGCAGACTTCCCATCAGATTGTTCGAACGCAGGTCGCAAATCAAGTGACGATTGCGCTGCATGATCTCCGGTGATCTGACAGCATCATACTTTGCTTTATGTTGAGAGACGGCGCCTGCTCGCTTGAGGCTCGCATAAGTTCAGGGTGGTCATTCACACCTATCTGAATGCAAAGCATGTGTATATACATATATATACACGCAAAATCAAAGCTTGCCAAAGACGTATGTGTTTGTACGAATAACAACACGCATACATCTAGCGATCGTCTCACCCATCACCAACCAACCGACCCCAACCACCCAACCACCCACCTAAGCAACCAGCCAGCCAGATTGACCAACCAACCCAACAAGCAACCAAACGTGCGAGCATGCACACGGACAAACAAGCAAGTAAGTGTAATCATGCGCATACACATAGCTACATGTATATATGCATGGTGCATGGGTACTTAGGTACATATGTACGTACGTGCGTGACGCATGTATACGTACATGCATAGACATATACACGAACAGAAACATGCAGTATGAACATATATATATATATATATATATGTAAATATTACCTGCTTCTCCACTCCCCAAGATCGGCGCACTCATGTGTTTGTTAAACTTAGACCCATTAACTTGCACAAAGATGCAAACCTGAAGATGGAGTACTAGTGCTGAGTATTGCCTACCTCCCGTTCCGACACAAAGAGACAGACCTGAACACAGAGTACGAGTGCTAAGGGGTACGTATTGTTTGTGCCCAGCCTGGCTTGCATTGGAAAATTGAACTTCGTTGCACCGACGCCCCAGGAATCAAGAGCCACGACTGAAGAGTGTGGGGAATCTTTGTTCTTGGTGCCTGGGGCGTGGTTGCAATAGAGTTCACTCTTTCAATGCGGCTTGTAATGCGGCATATGTTCATGTGGTTTCCTGCTGATGATTGGTGTTTCACGTGAGCTCGTGCGTGTGAGTATTGTCTTGAAGTTTCTGAATTGATGAAGCCAAAAACATGTAGATCTTGGGGGGTGGGGTTACCATCCATATGTGTATAATTCTACGTGTATATATATATATAGAGAGAGAGAGAGACATCAATGTGCGTAATTACGTATACATAGACATAGAGTGTGTGCATACATATACACACCAGGTGCATGAGATAGCTACGTAGAAATATGGCTTGACAGGCAGCAGGAAAGTCTGAGAACAATCTTGCCTGGTGATACGCCAATCCGAAGTGATTGCAGTGGCTCGACAAGCGAGTCCGCTTTGAAGGGGTTCTGTGCAGTCAAGTCGGAAGGGGAAAAGATGCCGATCGATTCGGCTTGTGCATGAGTTTTTAGTTGGTTCTGAGATAGGCATAATTCTAACGCCTCCTTTTTTGGCAGGCAGATACACCGCAGCACACCTGACAGTCCTGAAAGCGCACTCATGACCGTGGGGCCCGAAGCTGTGAAGTTTAAAGTTTGCCTTTGCACCAGGAGCCAAATCAAGACAAGCCCAGAAGCTCCGCCTTGCTACGGATCCCTCTCCCACGAGGCTACACGAATCTGCCTTTGGATTGACCCCTGACATGCAAGCGCGGCATTGGAAAAGCTCCTGACATCACCAGCCGGCACCTCGCCCCGTCTATGCGCCGGCACGTGCCATGGAAGTTGGTGCAGAGGGCGGAGCGTCCGAGCGCACGGCCGACGCAGATCCGCCAGTGAAGCTCCGGTGTGAGAGCGAAGCCGGCGACAGCCTAAAGCGGGGCCGGCTTGGCCTTGTGAGCCTCAGCAGCGTCCTGGGCGCCCTCGAGCGATTGGACGATCAGAGTGTGTCCCGCAGCCTGAAGCGCAAGCGATATGCCGCAGCTCTGTTGCTGCTGAGCGTACCTGTGTTGAGCAGCATCGTGGCTTTCGGGGTGCAGCTGTCGGTGGCATTTGGCCACAGCTTTTCCAAACTGGGAAGCCTTTTCGTCGCCAGCAGTTTGCTTGTGACACTCCTGACCGCACACCTTGTTTTTCGCTACGGCAGAGCTGAGTTCAAGAAATTGGCGTCGCGGCGGTACCTCATCTGCGTCCTAAACGGCATCATCGTAGCCTCAAAGCATACACTTCAAGCCTTGGCTGTTTCCAGGATGAACTCATCGATTTTTTTCATTGTGATGCGCTTTGCTCTGCTTTGGATGGCCATCTTTGACGCGATTTATTCCCTCAAGCTGCCTGGACTCAAGGCCATTGGCATCGTTGCGGTGATACTATTCTCCGTCAGCATCACTTCTGACTCTTTGACCTCTCAGGAAGAGGGCATCGAGGTGACCACGGAAGGAGTCTTGCTGGCGCTGGGCTGTGCTTTGGCAGATGCCGGCTCCGACATCGCCTCTGATGTGATTGGGTCGAGCTTCACTACTGGGCTCCAGGGAAAAGCACGGAACTGTGAGCTGAATCGGTATCTGGTGATGCAACAAGCTTGCAGCATACCTTGTTACTTGCTGGCTGCTGCTTCCATCGGCGATCTCCCGAGCCTTTTCCGGGGCTTTGATGCCACTGTCTTCCTTCTGGCATCATTGCCCCTGGTTCTGAAGATCCCTGTGTTTCAGTTTGCCATATTCACTGCCGGTGCAGTGAAGACAAACATGGCCGTATCCTTCGAGATGGGAGTTTCTTATGTCTTCGAGGTTTTTTTCGGTTTGGCGAAGTTCAACGTGAGCCGATTTTTCGCAATGATGTCCTTTGCATGCGTCCTTCTGATGGATTCGCTACATGCTTCCAACCTGGATGATGCAGCAGCTGCGCAGCACAGGACGACCTTGCAACAGGTCCGACGAGAGATTGGGAGATCTTGTGAACCAACCTCATTGGTCCACGACGGCATTGAGGACTGAAAGTGAACTTCGTTTAGGAATGCACGCGTACGTCTGCAGGAGAAGATCTGCGAGCGAGAGAGTAGGAGCTTCACAGCAAGAGCTCAAACCAGGCAGACTCCCAAAACATCTCCTCTGCAGTTGGGGGCCTGCTCAGTCGTCGTAGTAGTAGTAGCAGTAGGAGGAGGAGTAGGAGGAGAAGTCGGAGTACGATTTTAATGGTTTGCTGTGTTTGCGTTATTGCTTGTGTTATTGCTTTCTATTATTGCGGTTACTATTACTACTACCATTGCCTGTGGTATTGCCCAAGCTTGCCATGACGATTGCTCCGTTAGTATTAGTAGTACTGTGACACGTACCATGGCCCTCGCCATTGCTGTAACTTATGAGTATCACTATCCCTATTGCTAGTGCAATTACTAGCAGTCTTTTACCATCATTAGTACTATGATGACTATTGCTACTACTACTGCTAGCTGCTAATACCAATACCAATGCTGTTAATACTGATACCGATACTAATACTAGTTCTAATGCTGTCACGATTATTGTTACTATTGCTAGTACTCATTACTCATGACATGCCTCGTTGCTCTTTGCAGCGTACCGGTTGCTCAGTACTGATTACTAAGTACAAACTGCTAAATACTGAAGACTCATTGCTGGCTAATCATTACAACTGCCGAGAATCGAGAACCGCTAGATTGTCCGCGTCATCTTGGTAAACTTGGTAAGCTTGGGGGGAGCAAAAAGTCGTTTGAGTAACCTCTAATGGGGGGAAGTTTACACGCCACCTAGGTCGTCTTGGTCATGACACCCCCGCACCCCCCCGGACCCAACACTTCTTCCGACCAACATGATGCGTCATCTTGCCCCACCGTTTGCACCACTACGCGTGCCCGCATCGATTTAGGGTTTAGGGTTTAAGGGTGTAGGGTTACCCGCGCATCAGTTTAGTTTAGGGTTTATCGGTTTAGGGTTTATGCTTTTAGGGATTAGGTTTGCCGTAGAGTAGCGCATAGGCGGAAAAAAGATATTGCAAAATCACATATCTGAAGAACAGCAGCTGGGACACCGTGTCCTGCATTTGCCTGGCCTTGCTGCGCTGCAACCGCACTCTGACAGAATAGATTCGTTTTCTGAAACGGAGATCCCGTCCTATACCAAATCAGCCTGCGCGCGCTGGTTAGCCCATGCGAGGACAGAAACGTCTTCGTCTTCTGGAGCAAAGCTCCAGCTGCTGTATGCGAGGACAGAAAAGTCTTCAACAGAAGACCATCGCGACCGTGTCATCCAGGTTCCAGATGTATCCAGTGGATTTGCGGAGCAAAGCATTTGAAGTGTCAGGAGAAGGACGCTGAGATCCTTGCTCTGCGACGCCAGCTGGAGCAGCAGCAGCAGCAGCAAAGCTCCAGCTGCTGCTGTGTTGAGCTCAACGTTTTGGAGATGCTTGCTTTATGTTCCTTTCCAGTCTTGACATGACGTCACCTGGCTGAGGCGTCGACGGTCTGTTCAAGAGAACATGTCATGATCAGTTGGGGTGCTGACAACGTACAACATCTGCGGCACAGCAGCGTTTAAGGTGCCTGAGATGCTGTCGCCACGTGTCGGCTACGGCTTCGACGTTGATGTTCTCGCGCTGGGAGTTGCGATCCTCGTGTTGCTCACAGGACTCTGCAAGCCCTGGACATGCGCACGCCAATAAATCATTGCACACGCTTTGCTTCATATACCCTGTACCGGTTGCAAAAAGGCCTCGACCTGGAAAAGCTGGATGACGAACCACACCCCACAGGTCGCCCAGTGGGCCCAGTGTTGCACTGACGCCGAGCTTGGGCCGCTTGAGGTCGTCTGCCGGCTTTGCCACCGCGGTGGCTGCGAGGGCTGGATTTGTGGCACACGGCAAGCTTTTTTCTGGTGGGACTTGTCACCGGTTGAAAGTTGTGCTGAAAAGAGAGGAGTCGAAGGCTTCAGCTAATGTGTTCGAACGTGCACATTGACTGAGCGCCGCGGACGACGCCTTCTTCAACTTCGGAGACTTGGAGGAGCTAGAACTGGAGGCTTGCACATGGAACTACCTCTGCTGCGTGGTATGCCCTGCCGGAAAAGGTCAAAGCAGGATGATGGATGATGCTGGCATGCAGTTCGCTTGTGTTTGCCTTCTTTGTTTCAAGGCGGATGAACTCTGATCGGATAGCTGGACCTGGTAGACCTGATCCACTCGGCCAGATCGCCAGTGGCATCCACTCGCGTTGCCGACAAGGTGATAACGTAGCAAGTGCTTTAGTTCTAGTAAGTTTCACCGATTGGTTGCTGCTCTTTTTGCCCGGTTTTCGCGAGTTTTTCTGCCTTATGGTGCTTGTTGTCGTTTATTGAAGCGTTTTCTGGACATTCTGTTTGTTTTTTGGGGGGAGCGTGTTTTGCCATGTGTTTCCGACCGCTCTAGCATGCTTGAGGTGCCAGACCACCGCCAGAGGCCAGAGGAGCCACGTGTTTCTCCATGACGCAAGATCCATAGCTCAAGCCCCTGCTTTGTGTCTGCCTAGCCAGTGCACCGCAGCGCGAATCAGGTTGGTTCGAGTACCAAATTAGCATGTTTTTATGATGTGTGAGAAGCGTGTTCTGTGTCACACTTCACTTACAACACGTGCACCGTGAAAACGGTTTTCGGGTACGACCGAAGGGACGACGCCTCAAGTGTGTTTGAAAGTCTTGTATTGGCAGAACAAACACCATGGACTGGGAAGCCCAAAACCCCAGCAATCCAGGCCTCAACCCAAGGGGGACTTTCAGTGTACACCGTGTGGCGATTCAGATTGGGTATGCAGTGTTCTTGCTGGTCTGGCGACGGTCCGCTGATCCCATTGCAAGATCTTAATCTTGGTCCGACATATGCGGACACTGAGCTTTGCCACATTGACGCACTGCCCGCGCTGCAGCGACACGCTACGGCTCTGCCAAGCGCACGAGACTCAAGTGGAGCGGGGTTGAGTTGCTTGCTTTTTTGCTGCTTGTTGCTGCATCATGACATGCAGCATCAGGCTCCTGCAAGAGGCAAATAGTTGCTTAGACAAGGCCGGGATTTATCTGCGCAAGGGTTGAAGGAGGAAGCTCAGACGTGAAAAGACTCGTTGAGGTGCTCTCCGAGGGGCCGGCTACCGGCTCCATCAACGTGAAGGAGCCTGGCCATCATCGCATTCCCAGGCTCGTGCTCTTTGTTGAAAGCGTGTACGTTGCCATGCTGCGCTCTTTTAGTTCCGGAGGTCTAGCGCTGCATTATCCCAGCATCTGTGGTCATTCATTCCAAGGCCTGAATGCAAGGCGGGAAGATCCAAGCATTCATGAGCATGACAGTGCGACGGGGTGGATGCCCGTTGCAATGGACAGACCGATGCACGCTGCCTCGATTCAGGACCGTTACGACATAACAAGCATGCGCGGTGCATCCTCAGATGTCTTCATGATTCAGCTGAAGCGCTTTTCTGGCAGTATTGGTCTACGATATCACAATCACAAAGGCAGCCTGGAAATCAAACACCGGGAGTCATGATGGCTTCGAAGGGCTGCAAACTCAGTGGTTGCCATATCTGCTGGCTGGGCTATGACCCATTGGACGAACACCCGAGACAGGTCACTGCAGATCCTTGGTGATGAGCACGCCGAGTGAGAATGGAATTGTAAGTTAGTGTACGGAGGCCGCCCTCTAATCAGTATGCCTCATGACAGGTGCCTCCGAGTGCACACTTGCATGCTCAAACAAGCATCTTATACAGATGCTCAAGAGGTGAATCTCACAGGCACCGCGCATTATCTGCGTCATCCGGGGTTAATGACTTTGCTCGAAGTTACTGCATAATGTGTTTCGGACCTAAGGGTGAGTTCAAGCACAGAAGTGAGTGTTGTGGTGAGATGAGGGATGAGGGCTTTATTCTCACAATTCCAAATGCACGGCTCAAGGAACAAATGAATTCGCTTGACTGGACAGTGACGCTGGCAGATTTTCCCAATGCCAAAGATTATGTTTGGTAAGTCAAACATGATGGCATGTCTATCAAGGCATCTTTTTGGGAAACTGAAAAGGCGGCTCTTAAGCGACAGACTGTGCTTACGGTTTTGATAGCACTTCTGCCATGAGAAAGCATTGGGTCGGCGTGTGCGTAGCGCTTCTTTCGCTGGGCCTCTGGTTTGTCCGTGGCTCAGGTTGAAGCGTCGGCCAACACGACCCTTTCCGTTGGCTAGGCTTCGTGTGTCTGTTCTGTCGTGGCCACAGAGCTGCTTCAACCCCAGCTTTTATGGGTGTTCGTTTTCGCCACTGCTTTTGTTTCGCAGATGTGCAGACGGCACTGCCATGGGGGTCGTCGTACCCTCTTTGGCCCTCCCACTTCAGCGTCAAAGCCAGTAAATTAACTAATTGATTGGCTCAAATGTGCTCAAATCATATCCTGGAGCTCAGGATGGTGCATGCGGCTGAAAAACCTTCATGATGCCCTAAACCTTAAACCCTGCGCTTACATCATATCCAAGAGATCAGGCGTGCGGCGTTAGGCGACCACTCTCCGGGGCGGAGCGGGGTGGGGCGTGCACACTTACGTGTTTCAGGTGTTCCTGCGCGCGTGCGCGCGCACGCGCGACCAAAAAAAAGTTAATGAAGAGGAAATCCATTTTACTCGTTATTCGCGGTACTTTCCTACTGTCCTACCGTTATTGTTGTCTCAATATCCAGTTGTCAACATTGCAAACTCGGGCTTCGGATTTTGGAAGGGTTCGGGGGGTGCGAGTGTGTGGGGTGGGGGGTGGGGTGGGGTAATGACGACTCGCTTGCGCGCTGTGTTCGTAATGTCCTCCTACAGCTTGTTGCCGCAAATATCCATTTGTCGACTTTGCTAGCTTTTTAGTGCTTGTGATGTTGAACATGATGGTTTCAGCCGGCAGGTCGTTGGTGCGGGGCTGGCTAGCAGTAGGCGCGGGCCCCATTGGGGACCCACCTTTTTAAGAGCAATAGTAATGCATGTTGCATGTTGCAAGTGGGTGTTGCTCAAGGTGGTTTTGGGGTCAAAACTGGTGTTTTAGACCACGCCGCGACCGCATTTTTTCTTCGTTTGATGGAAGCCTGGGAGTGTGGTCGGAAAGTGTGCTGTTGGGGCTTAAACTTTTGCTTGGGAGCACGCAGCGACCGCACTTTTTCTTCAAACTCGACGCGGGAAGAAACTGCTAAACCACAGGTGGTCGGATAGTACGAAAACCCTATATATAGTTTTGAGTTTTCGCAGACAGCCCTCCGAAATCCCAACGTCGAGCTCGCAAAGTCCAAACATCATTTTTGGTGATTAAAACAGATGGTCCGACATTACGAAACTACTGTAGCTGCCCATTAAAACGGCTCTTCTGGAGATATTGTTCGGCGTGTCTGCTTAGCACAATGTCGTCATCATCGCCCCCCACCCCCCCAAACCCTGTCCGAGATGTGTTTGAACACATCCATCATCATCGTCATCATCAGCATCCTCATCAGCTTCATCTTCCTCAAACATACTAAGAACGTGGGTCCGGCAAGGGGCCCCGGCCGAGTAGTAGTAGTAGTAGCAGCAGTACTGGTGGTAGTGGTAATGGAAGTGAAACTGGCAGTAGTAGGAGTAGGAGTAGTAGTAGTAGTAGTAGTACTAGTAGTAGTAGTAGTAGTAGTAGTTGTAGTAGTAGTAGTAGTAGTAATAGTAGTACGGGATGAGGAGTAGGAAGAAAAGTAAGAGTACGATTCTCATAGCTAGTTGTGTTTGGATTATTGTTTTTACGATTACATTTGCTGCTCTTGCGGTTACTATTACTACTACCAGTACTTCTGCTCTGTTATCACCTGAGCTTGACACGGCGATTGCTGTTAGTAGTACTTGTACTTTGACTGCACAACTACCATGACTATCCCGATTGCTATTGCCAGTGGGACTGCTTCTCCAATTGTTGTTACGATAGATGTTGCCACTACAATCACTATCACTGTCATTCAAGCAACCATTATCACTATAACGAATGCTTCCTCAATTGCTGTTGCGATAGATGTCGCTATGACAATCACTATCACTGTCATTCAGGAAACCATTATCACTATAACGATCACCATCCCTATTGCTATTCCTACCGCCAGTGCTGTTACTTGTTTTGTTTCTACTACCACTAGTACTATGTTGAATGACTGCTGGTACGACTACCATAGGTAATATTGCTACTACTGATGCTCATACTAACCCTAATACTAGTACTCATGCCTAATGCTGTTTCGAATACTATGACTGTTGTCAGTACTCATGACTTATTACACATCTTTCATTGATATCTACATCTTATTGATTACCCAGTACTGACTACTAACTTAGTGTTGCCACTGCCAGTACAAGTTCCTCTATTACTACATATCACTGATCGCTGATAGCTTCCTACTTACTACTGCATCCTTGTGCTTTATACATTTACTGTTTACTTGGTTTTGTCAATGCTAGTCCTGCGAGATGGCAATGGCAACCGAGCAAATCAATGCCTTCGCAGATCACTATAAAGCAGTAGGACCCCACATGATCCACAGCATGCTACGGTTGCAACCAGGAAAAGTATAAACGGTGATAGATGTCGGTATCTTGGGGTCTCGGCTGGCGGTTGCATTGAATGCTATAGGTTTCGGGTTTACGGATGTATATGGACCAGAGAGATTAACGGATATTAAAGGTTTAAGCGCATTTCAGTAAGCACACGTGCAGCCATCTAGCAGCATCCACCGTTTCAGGTAGATGTCGTGCTCGATAGCACGTCCTCACACGTGTGGGGAGTGTTGCAAAGGCTCGCTGCAACTTCTAGCTTCGATTTGGGCCGTGTTTCGCCAAGACGCTAAGCTCGAGTCGGGTCGCTGCCAAGATCTTCTTGCCGTGGCTCATCAGTGCTGCAATCCCACTTGCCAGCAGGCTTCTGATCCCACAAAACTACAGAAGCCAGATGTTTGCATGGCATCGATTTTGGCCGAGCGTGACGAAGAAACCGTGCCATTGAGGATTCTGTTGCCATGTCAGATGGTTGGGCCGCAGCCTCCTGAGCCGTAAAGATGGCCACCCTGTTTGCAGGAGCCGATGTTCGTTCGGGGATTGCTCAGAGCCTGGCGAGCTTCGCTGCAGGAGATCCATGCGCTGCTGTTGCCAGCTGTGCAGCACTCTGCGCAAATCATGTGCAGGTCGTGCCGGCCAAAATCTACCTTTGGAATCTGCTTATGCTCCTATGCCTTCCTTGATTTGGTTTCTGCCCAAAGGCCTTCTTCCGCTGTGTTCTTCTTGGCATGGAGGCAGTTGTTTTTGTTGAGATTTTGCCGTCTGTAACTGTTATTTGTTTGTGATAAAGATCGTTGCCGGGACTGACATGCCAGCAGTTGGCATAAGCTGGACAGCCACCGGATGCAGACGCCGTGAACCCGTTGCCACCGCCATGACAGCTGCAAGACGGAGTCAATTCAGAATGACGCAAGGTCCACGGAAGTTGTTCGAAAGAGTTCACGAAAATCATCACATGTTCACGCAGACAAGCAGTCCAAGTCAGAACTGCTCAACACCCACGCACCGCCATGAACTCATGGACCAGGGCTTAGATGGTCGACGCCCCGGCTCACGTGCAAGCTGGCGCCTGCGTTCATTATGTTTTGCCGTGCTGTCTGAGGTCGCTGACACCCAGCATGTCAGCGAAGCCGTCAAGGGGGCGAAGATGGGCAGGACCTTGTCCTCAGCATTTAAATTTGTTGTGTCGTAATGCAAACGTCGGTATACATTCGGGCCTTATGCCAGGATCCGTGGTCGCCGGGCGCTTATGCCGAAGCACTGGACCTGAGCGCCTCCCTGTGCTTTGTCAGGTCCTGTGTTCCTGGAGGTGTGCGCATTCCAACGTGGATGTGGAACGGTGTAACATGTTCCTTTTGCCGCAGCTTTTGCAGGCACCTTGCAGAAGCGCAGGCCATGCCGGGAGCTCATGGGACGTCTGCTCCCATCCCAAAAAATGGTTTGTTCAGCTCTGAGGCCAGGCGGATCCCTTCCCGCAGAGTGCCTTGGGCTTGGAATGTAAGCTACGAGTCGAAGGGAAGCTCTCGTCAGTGTCAGGTCTGGAGTTCGCCACCTGCTCGGGTGCACAGGGTGCAGCTGTGGCCTCGGGTGCTTCGTTCTCCGCTCTGAACTTCGGGTGTTCCGCCTTTGTCGGAGGATTGGCAAGGCTTCAGCCGACAGGTGCGCCAGGCCAGGCGGCAAACGGCACACATGTCATAGCAGCGATGAGCGGTAGAGCAGTAGGCGGCGGAGCTCGAGCAGTCCATGCAGTACCAGGCCTGCCAAGCGCTCGAAACTCGCGGCAAGGCGGGAAATCCGAGCCCTGCGCAAGGCGGCGATGGAGATCTACCACTCGCTGATGGAAAGTCATGCCTTGGATGCCGGCATTGCTTTGCAATGCCGTGATGCCCCTACGATTTTCCACACGTCGGTATGAAGCCCCCCTGTAACATTGACCTCAAGAGCCATGTGAGGCATGGGTGCTGCCACTGTTTTCTACAGACAGGGTCGGCTCTACCTCCATCTAGGCAGCTGTTTTTGCTATGTTTCTGGCGGCACGGTTCATAGCCATGGCAGAGGCTATCCCCAACGGGCTTCCAACTTGTTCCAACTTGCCGGAGACCGATGGCTCCCTATGTGGAAAGGCTGTTTTTCTTGGCGGCCGTGTTTCCCGCCTATTGTTGTGAGTTGCGTTCCTTAAGACCTCTCGGCCCGTCTGAGGCGATGAGCATGTTCTGGGATGCTTCTCGGGCCGAGAATGGAATGGCCTGCCTTCAGTACGAGATGTGGGGCATCAGGCCCGATGTGTCGACATGGCCATCCCGAGTCGCAGAGTTGTTTCGACAAGGTGGTTCGACGATTTCATGGAAACCTACTTGAGAAATGCCGCGAATCTCCGGCGAAACGATTTGAGCATGCTGCCGTCGCTCAGCTGAGACGCTGCTTTTAGAGTCTAGCACAACACTGCTTCCCAAGCCTGCATCGCTCTTGAGCACAGACCTTGGCAAGGCACTTGTCAGACCTCCAGGTGCCGAATGCTTTTGTGCCATGCACCAGGTGTGGTCGGCGGAATCCTGTCTCATTTGAAGGTGCCTCCGAACTATCGTGATCCCTCCCTTCGCATCGCGGTCTTCTCCTTGTGCGACTACTCGCCGGAGTCCCCGATGCATTGGCTGCCGCGGTCTGAGTTTTCTCCGCTGCTTCTGGATGCGGCTGGTCGGCTCAATGCGGAGTTCGAGGCTTGGTCGCTCCCGGCAGAACCGGGAAGCCTATTGCTCAAAGCACGGATACGGCCTGGTGCGGCCCTGAGCTGAGAGAGCCGAGAGAGCCGGCCTCCCAGCCTCCCTCCTCTCTGCATCTCGCAGCCCGGCACCAAAGGAGTGGACCTCGCAGAGACCAGCATCTTCGAAGGTCGCAAGCATCCCTCCCTCTCTTTGCTGGTGGGGATGGGGCTGCATTGGGCTGTGTGGCCAGGGACGGCACCCAGTCTGGGGACAGATCGCCGGGCCGCTGGAGCTGCAAGAACCCCAGAACATCCTGCCCAGAGAGGTCTCCAAGACCGCTCCCTTCAAAAACAGCTCCTCAGGCGTGTGCAGTCGCAGAATGCTGAAACATGTTCTGAGGTTGGGTGACGGCAGGTATGCTCGGAACCCGAAAGCCTTCGCGACCGAGGGCAGGAGACCGCGAGAGAGCGCTTACGCCAAGGACTGGGTCCTGTCCATGGATTGCGACTCCCTCTTCACGGACATGACTGCATTTTGGCCTCAGAGCATTTGAAGCCTTTCTTGCAGCTTGTTGTTGCTTGTGTTTTCTGTTTTTGCAGCACGGTGGTTAGGTCACCGTGGACTCTTTGCTCTACCGTTTTGCCTCCCGAGCCACTCCATGGGGGAAGTTGGAGATCGACCCCTTGGTGCACTTCCTCATCTCCGAGGAGAGAGAGACAGGGAGAGGGCACCCTACAACTGCTTCCCTCCTCGTCGCTTCTTTCGCAGGACGGCCGTGGCTTGGCTGGCGGCCGCCTGAGCTTACGGAAGCAGAGCGTCACAGAACACGCCAGCGGCTCATGCGACGCTTCGCGCTGCCTGGCAGGCGGGAACTGGATTGTCCGAAACTCTCCCGAAGGCCAGGCTCGGCGCCCGTCCTCTCCTCTTCCCTCCTCTGCTTTCCTCTAGATCCTCTTGAAACCTCTGCTTTTGGATTTGGTGGCCACTAGCACTGGCGGCCAGGGCGGGGCTTCCTGCGTGAGATCTTTGGGCCCGAGGATGAGAGTCAGAATCCCTACATGAGGCCAGGCGCCGGCCCGGCCCGGGCCGAGCCGGGCCGAGAGAGAGTCCGATGTTTGTCCGCAAACTGCCCCCTGGTGGCCCCCTAAAGGCACGACCTGCGCGATCAGTTTTCCCTACTTTGGCATCTGGCCTCCACCTCGGCCATCCCTGGGTATCAGTTCGGTGCTCGAACTTTCTCCAGCAGCTTCGGTGAAACTGCGTTGTAGGAGTACTAGAGGACTCGCACCTTCTATCCTGAGCAAGGACTTGTCCAAAATCCGTTTCTATTCAATCCAGTCACCCATGGCTACCGTGTGAAAGGTCTTTACATATTCGGGTTTAGGAATTAAAGCCTTATCAAGTAGGGCATCTTAGGGTGGCTGGGTAAATGGTGACTTTGGGCCTTTTTGTGTTTTTCGGGGACTTGCTCGGACTCAGGTGCGCCCTGGGGTTTCAGTGCCCATGCCGCAGGAAGACGCAGTGTCCACGCCCGGAGCCCACTTTGAGAGCACAGCCTGGTTAGAGTGAAACTCCCCTGTTTCGCAGCTTTGCCGGAGGCCGCAGGCTCCCAAGAGCTGGAGTGCGATCGGCTACCGGGAGCTGGCTCGGCTGGTTCCGCAGGCCGGGCATGTCCTTCTCTGTGCTTTCTCGCAGCTTTTTGAAAGAGCCAGGATCTGCTTCTGGGTCGTGGCCTAAAACACGCAGCTTCCACGAACAACGACGATTTATGTCGCAAGTCTTCCCGAGGCTCCTACCCTTACGTGAGCTGCTCTCAGCCTGGCGTGCCTTCCCCAGGGGCGGGTCGGAAAAGTTCAACGGAAGGACCCCTTTCCTGTGTGTGTTCGATGTTTCCTGGCAGGATCAGGCACATCGCTGCTTCGGTGAAGGTCCCAAAGACAAGGACTTCATCGTCTCGGTGCCGCTGCCGCGAACTCGAAACGAATTTGATTCGGGCGCACGGTGCTTCCGACATTCATGGTTCGCCCCCTTCGGAGGTTGGGCGCGCTGCCCGCTCAGCTGGCACAAGTGCTTCTGGACCGTTTCCTCTTGGAGAGCCTGGGATCTTTCGGACAGCCTGTGGCTTTGATGCACGGAAACTGCAGTGCGATCTTGGTCTTCACCTAGAGCTAGGACAGAAAGGGGGGTGGCTGCTGCTGCCAGGCATACGAGCAGGAGCTGCGTGGCATGTGCGCTTCCGTGGATGTCTCGCGCTGCTTGGCCCGGCACCCACCCGCGATCTGACAGGGGCGCTCTTAAACAGACACGCCCGATACTGTTGTTGAGGAGAGAGGGAGAGAGAGAGAGAGAGGACTGGATCTTCCTAAGAGCCTCAGGTCGGAGAGTCCGCAGGCCTTGCAGCACGGTGAAAAGGGGCCTTTGTGCGTGTCTGCTTAGCCTGAGCCAGGGTTGTTTGCATGATCTTGCAGCTTGCATTAAGCCAGCAAGCGTGCAGAATGTTCCCCTGGTTTTGGGCTCCACCTCCACCAGCGCGGAGTGAGTGTGACGGGGCCGCGATGATGTACGCAAAGCGTCCGGCCTTCTCGTTAACGAATGGCAGAGGCCGCAAGGGAAAGGAGGGTTACAAGGAGGCCAAAGACAAAGCGAGCAAGCTAGAGAAGGAGATCAAACCACAGGTGAGAAGCAAGTCTCTCGCCGAGCTACTTGAGGCAGAAGAGAACGGCCAGGGCAACAAGCTGGAAGAGGCGTTGCTGGCGGTTTTCCGACTCATCGATGCTGACAGTGGTGGCTCCATCTCGAAGCTTGAGTTCATTGGAGCTGTATACAGGCATGCTTTGGTGGCCTCCTTCGTTCTGCAAGGTCATGGCTTGTGCCCTGAACTGCAAAACGACCCTAGTGGCCAAGTGGCCATCAACGAGCAGAGCTTTGATGCCGTCGACGATGTCTTCGACAGCATGTCTGGCGGAAGTGCTCGGGTGAAATACCCCGAGTTTGCAGCCTACTTCCGCAGATTAGCAAACGTCTGTCTAGCAGCACAGACAGAGGAGAAAGGCATGAAAGAGGTCTTTGGCTCGCTTGATGCTGATGCCAACGGCTCTTTCTCCAAGCTGGACATGGTAGCAGCGATGCAAAGCAGCACGCGCGTGGCCTCCTACTTGCTCCCGGGTCTTGATGCCCGAAAGGTCTTGGAGGATGAGCGCAGCTACGATGCAGTTTGCTCACTCTTCGATCACATGGCCGCTGGAAGGCAATGTGTGCAATGGCAGGATTTCAAGACGTTCTGCCTGCACACGCGCTTCCAGAAGGCTTGGGATTCCAGCCCTTCTTTGGGCCCTTCGACTACGTGCTCCAGCCCCCTGAGCCCCCTGAGCCCTTCCAGCCCGGAATCCTCGGACGAGAGATCCAGCTCAAAAGTCCTGATCATAGCGCCCGGCTTCGGAAGGGAGCGACATCCCCAACAAGCTGCCCTGCTAGCGAACGCAGGCTTTCAGATGCACTGGTGCAGGGACCTGCCCGAGTATGCAGACGAAGGTGCCAGGCTCAGCTACCATGCTGTGGCCCCCTACTTGAACAAAATCCGGGATGAGATAGTGAACGTACAGCCCCGGGTGGTGATAGCGGCATCGCAGGGTGGAGCATATCTGGTTGGCTTGTGGCAACTCGGCTACTGGAACGGTCCCTCCGTGATGCTGAACGCGCATCCCAGCCTGCCGATGCGGCTGCCGGCGGCGGCAGCCATCGTCTTAGCACACGGATCCAACGATGAGGCTTATTTGTGGAACCGCGGTGACCTCGAGGAGCTGATGACGACGGGGCCGGCCAACCGGTGCCTGTTGTACTACACAGCGAACAGTGGCTACTTGGCTTCCGGATCTCTGACCCGACTAGGGGATCGGCACGTGATGGGCTCCATCCTACAGAACAATACCCTCCCTAGACTCGTCGATGCGGCTTTGAGTCCCATGGGCCCTGAGCTTCATTTGATCGAGAGTTGGAGAAACCAGCTTTCCGAGAGCCGCCTGGAGGCCCAGCATTGGCTCGGCTACTCCCTGGAGCGGCTACGGCGCTTATGGGCTTCGCCCGGGCGCTTGGGAAGGGAAACCTCCGCGCTCTTCCCGGTCTCTCCGAAGTCCGAGGAGTTTCGGAGAGTCCAAGCCATCTTCCGGGGTGCGCCGGTGGAGCCTCCGGCCTACATGCTCTCCTCGCAAGCAAGCTGGGAGCGTCTTCCCATCCACAGGATAGAAAGGGTGGAAAACGGAGGACAGATGGAGTGCAGCACCATCCCTTATAGGGACGGCTTGAGGAACTCCTTGCGGGAGCAGGGGGTAGACTTCGATCCTTCCATCCATGCTTGTTGGGCTTTCCATGGTGCCGACCAAGAGTCGCTGTTGTCGATCATCAGAGATCCGGTCTCCGGCTTTCAGCCCTTGATTTCCGGGAGCCGCAACTCCCCGGTCTGGGGCTCGGGCACCTACTTCGCCAGAGACGCCAAGTACGTGGCAGACGGACAGTTCTGCCCGCGAGAAAGGGATGGCTCCAGATGCATGCTGCTCTGCCTGGTGATGCTCGGCATGCCGTGCCTCGGGGATCCGAACCAGAAGGAGCTTCTTCAGCTTGCACGAGACTTCTTTCTCTGGGTGAGAGTAAGACAGAAGGAGGGGGAGAGAGAGAGAGAGAGATTGGCTCAAGCCGCGAGTGGTTCGAGCCCCAAGCCCGTAAACTAGTCGGGGGAGCAACCCGGCCGCGTTCCAAGAGAGTGAGAGAACGTGCCCTGCGATCGACCTCTCGGGGGAGTTTGAAAAACTACGCGAGATCACCTTCGGCCCTGACGGCTGCGACATCGTCAACTTCACTCCTGTACGGTGGCCACACGCTGTACCTTCGGGACATCTACAACAGCGCCTTTGCTGCAAACGGCGACCCTAATTACGTGGGCGGGGGATTACCTCTCCCTGCACTTCTGCTTCACCTACGCTGGGCGAGGGAAGCGGACCCTTACCTGACTGTGCAATGGCAGGCACGGCAAAACCGCCTTCTTCACCCACACAGGGGGACCAGCAGCCCGCCCCTGCCGGCGGAAGGAAGCGACCAGCAGTCGATGAGGAAGCCGAACGACCATTGACCCTCACCACACTCCTGGCCGCTCTCAAGGAGAACCGTGAGGAGATTGTGGCACAAGTTCGAGAGGACATGGACACCATCAACAACCGCATGTCCACCGTGGAGCTGACAGTTGAAACACATGTCAACAACACCACCAAGCTCCTTGAGGCAATGACCGACCGACACTGCGTTATGGAACAAAGTGTTCGCAAGGTGGACGAAAGGCAGCAATCCGTGCTACAGCGCCTCGAGCTCCTGGAGGGGAAGTTCGCCAAAGCCAACTTTTCTATGTCGAGTACACGGACTTCCGAAAACGAAGGGGGAAACCCCCGACCAGCACTGGTGGTCGGGGGATGGGATGCCGACCAGCACCACGAGGAGACATTAAGCCTCGTCAAAAAGCACCTGACCGAGCTCAACATCAACCTGGACCTCAGCCAAGCCTTCGTCCCCGGACTGCGACGGGGGTTCGCCCTCGTCCCACTCATCAAACTGGAGGGGGAAACAGAGGAGGAGCAACGAGCCCGCGTCCAAGAAGCACTTCGTACCATTCGGGCAGCCAAAGTGGTAACTGGCCAACGACCTGAAGGGGGACAGCGCTATTTTTTCGCAGCCATGAGCCAGAGCCCCGAGCGTCGCAAGCGTGCACAACTCGCTGGAAAGGTCAAGAGACTCATCATCGAAGAAGGTGGGGACGTACGTCATATTGACGTCGAGTATGGCACAGCGAACCGGCACCTGAAGGCGCCTCCATCGAGAAGTCCGGATGGGTTCACCTTGGCTCGCTGGCCCGGCAGATCGGGATCTCCGAGGAGACGGCCGTGCAGAAATGGGGAGAGCTCCGCAAAGCTCTCCAGTGAGAACGGACAACAAGGCGGGGCCGAGACTCCTCCGGGCCCGCGACAGACCAAATGCATGCCATTAGTTGGAATGTGGGGGGACTTTCAGCGGCTAAAGCACTTGAAGTCATCCTCGCACTTCGGCGACAACGAATTCGACCCTTTTGTGGCACCCTGGTCGTGTTCATCCAAGAGATCATATGCGACCCGGGGAAACAACACCTTTCCTTGGGAGAGTTGCAAGCTATCTTTGGCAAAAAGGCCGAAGAGTGGCGGGGGAATGCCATACTGCATACCTCCAACTTGCGACACAGCCAGGGGAAACTTTTACCTTGCTCGATTTCTTGCACTTTGACTTCCGATGAACTTCGCTTGGGAGCTTTCTCGGTCCACATTCCACACCATGCCACCCTATCCACTACAGAGCAAATCCTACAGCAACTGTACCCACACCTACAAAGCCACCATAGAGCCATCGTCGGGATCGATGCCAACGAGACCTTTGAGACAGCACGACAACGACGGCAGACGAAGGCATGCACAGCACGCGGAGAGATGCTGCTGGAATGGTTCGAAGAGGCAGAGTGCCACTTGCCACAGCAAGCCCTTGAGCAACCTAGCCATTTTCCATACAACACTACGATGGAACCACGCCGCCTGGACTACATCTTCGTCAAGAAGCTACTCTGTGACCCCGGGGAAATCCTGGCCCAAAGAGATATCGCCACGTCCGACCATGAACCTGTGTCCGTGCCCTTAACAAAGATCCGCGCCAAGAACATAGAGGGGGACCAACGTGCAGCACCTTGGTCATCCCGCATACTCAAGGCGGGGAACGAGGTCGATGCCATCCTCGACCGTGACCTCAATGTTGGGGGGGACCCTGTGATGCAAATACAGCAGGTCGCCGTGGCCATCAGCAAACCTGGCAAAAATAAACAACCCTTTGAAGAATCCGCAGCTCTTCGAGAAATGCGACGACAAGCACTACAAGCACCACCCGGAGAAGATCGAAGACGCCTTTGGAAATTGGCCAGAAGAGTGCACAAACAAGAACACCGACGGTGGCAACAACTGGCCATGCAAAAAGTGGCAGAATTGGATTGGGGGATGAAAAAAGCCCTTACAGAACAAAGCCGTGATCACACGTGGGAACTCTACCTCACTGACGATGACAACTGGAAGAAGGCACTCCAGGACCACTTCGAGAAGATCTTCTACAAACAAAAACAGGTCATCGTTACAGCCACCATCCGGGGGATCATGCACCAGCTCGAAATCAGGTGCAAACATACACCGTGGAAACCTTTCACGATGGAGGAGCTCATGGCCGTGAAAGTCAAGTGGCGAAATGGCAAGTCGTGCGGCCCTGATATGGTGTCACACGAAGCCTTGAAGGCTATGCTGCCCCACCCCAGGTGGGGGAACCGTCTTTTAGAACTCTTCAACGACATGCTGTACACCTGCCGCATCGTCGCGAGTGTCGAGGCTGGAGTCACAATACTGTTGGCAAAAACAAGCCAACCAAAAGACTGGAGCGAAACACGTCCCATAACGCTCAGCTCAGTCTTACTCAAGACTTTTGGACAACTCATCCTACAAAGATCGGGGGATGCCATCCAAACCCCGGCGAGGCTACAGTGGTGCAGGCGGGGGAGACAGGGGGTCGAATTGATCCTCATTCTCCGAAGATTGGCACGCATTGCTCGCGACTGGGGCCTGGAGTTCTACATCGCCAAATTAGACATCCGCAAGGCCTTCGACTCCATTTACCAAGAAAGCCTCGCAGCCCACGTCTACCAGACCATCGGGGAAAAAGCCCGACTCCCCTGGGAGGCCCGTGCATGGGTAGCATTGCTCCACGCCGAGAATATTTGCATACAAGTGGCCGGGGAAAACATCCCCATTCGACAAAGCAATGGCGTTCGTCAAGGTGCACCTGAAAGTCCAGTTGCCTTCGGCTCCGTGGTGGCGGACGACCTCGACGCAGCCATCCAAGAAGCAAGAACCAGCAAGCCATCGGACGACACCTCACCCCCCGAGGACGGGGGAAGCTACATGGACGACAACTATATCTGGTCGACGAACCGCCAGCACTTCCAGCATCTACTCTCCTGCTTGGGTCACCGGCTACCTCGACGTGGACTTTACCTGCACCCCGGGAAAACCGACATCATCTCCAACTCCGACAAGCAGGTGACCTTCAAGGTTGCGGGGGAGAATGTCACGACGAAGGGGCCCAAACATATCTTTCACGTGCTCGGGAGCCCTCTCTCCTTTCAAGGGGGGACCGCCATGCTACTGGCTGAAGCACAGAGCAGAGCCCGCAAGGCCTTTTGGACCCACAGGGATTCCTTCACTTCGGCAGCTACCATCCGGCAGAAATTGCAAATCCACGTCGTGCTGGTCAGACAAAGTGCCCTTTGGGCATGCCAGACATGGCCATGCCACAGCTGTCTACTGCGCTCCATAAACAGCATTCAACTCGCCCATGTGCGAGTGATGCTGGGACTACGACGACAACCATGCGAGGAGTGGGCGACCTGGAACAAGCGAAGTCTTCGACGAAGTCGCCTCGCTCTCTACCACTGCGGGGGAACCCGCTGGTCCACTTTTGTGCTCTCCCAGATCTGGACCGCCATTGGACATGTTAGCCGTGGCGACCCTGTCGGGGGGAAAATCCTCCAGTGGCACAGCCTTCAGTGGTGGCAAGAGCAAAAAGACATCGGGCGACCATTGCAACATGCAGCCCGCTTCAATGCCTACATGGACATAGACCGACAACTCAGCGACACAATCGGCAAGAATTGGTTCGCAATCGCACAGGACCGGGACACATGGGGGGAGTGGGAAGCTACCTTCATTGCGAAATATGATGTCCCATGGAGCAGTGGCAAACAAAGCAGCATTTCGAACCTTGCACCGGGGGACCAACAGGCCTCCGACAGAGCTTTCCTAGAAAGCTTGGAAGACAGCAGCCGGAAAAAGCAACAACGAAGCAACGGCAAAGCAAAACAACGAGCAAAGCAGCGAACAAACAGACCACGCAACTTGCAAACACCACAGCTGAGAGACTGAGAGCATGCGAGAGATACCTTTTTGCATTGACAGTCAAGTCGTGAATGACCTGTTCGCCGAAGATCAGTGACAGCGACGTGGACGTGCAGTATGCTTGTTCTTTCCTCTCTCTCTTCTTCTTTTTGCTTATCCACGAAGAATGCCGAGATCCCACGCCTGCTCGACTACATCCTTTGCTCAAACATGACATTTTCCTTCAACATCGTATCCTACGACATCTACACCACTCTTTCAACTATGGATGACTTCATGATCGTAATCCTCATGGACAAACTGTACAGACTTGTACTTGACGAGCAACAACAGCAGCCTTGCGAAAGGGGCCCAGAGCCCCGCTACAGCAAGCCACTCAGAGAGCATGCTCAGCTGCACCCTACCGGTCCTTTTGTGGTGGGGAACGATCCACAACGTGCTGACGCACGGGCCGGACCCCCCTTCAGGAACGGCACAGCCAGCGACTGACGACGCGCAAGCAGCGGCAGCAACAACACTGCGTGACACACACAACACGCAGCAGGCCCCACCAGCAGCGCCACAACACGCAACAAACACTGCACCGGCAGACCCCAACATACCACCATGGCAGCAGCAAGCCTGGGGAGAAACCGGGGCCCCGGCCCAACTGGCGTGGGCGGCAACGCACCTTACCTCCGGCGGCTACGTTACATCGTGGGGCGGTTGGACAACCCTCACTGCCGGGGAACCGCTAACAACATACCCCCACAACCACCACTCTACTTTCCACCACCACCACCATACCAGATCAGTCAGCAAGCATGCCCGACACAACCAACCGGTCCACCACCACTCCAAGTCCAGCAACCACAACCACAGCCACAACCTCCACAGACCAACCCCGCCACTACCACAGTACAACAACCTTCGCAGACCAGCCAACCGACGTCTCCAAGAGCCAGCAACGACATCCACGGCTACCATCCCACATACGATTGGGACACAGACCCCTGGAACAACCCCCAGGAGGATCCATCTCCCAACGCCCAGCAAGCGGGGGGCAAGGCCTCGCACGGCCCTCCGAATCCAGCTGGACAGACAGCACCACAACACGACCCCCCACAACCACAACAACAACCACCACTGGCACAACCACCACAACAACCACCAGCCTGGCTGCCACCACCCGGCACTGGCCCACTACCCGACATGCGACTGGGGGAATACACCAGCTGGATATCCACTGGGCGCCTACCCACCAGCTACCTTGAGCGCGTTTGCTCACCAGGACCCGACTCCAAAGCCACAGCTAACCGAACAGTGCCCCCCACACATTCCACCCCCCCCGCCGCCACTGGCTCCGACGAACATCTCGACGAAGCCACCACAACGTGCACCAACTACACAGTAGATGCATCCTGCAGCCAACCACCCCCCCCACTGCAACCCCTACAGCCACAACCTGACCCACTGCCACGCGGCCAGAAGACACAGCCACCTCCAGACTTCTTCCAACCACGTCCAACAAACCCATCGGACCACAGCCCCAACACGGAGGACACCGAGGAGGATACCAGCGACCCTATGGACGAAGATCCAATGCGGAAAATCCCACCATGGGAAAGACCTGGCTGGGGGCAACCCATAGGGGGACCAAAACATACCTCCAAGAGAGGGGCGGGACACGGCTCCCAACGCCTTGGGAACAAGGAGGGAAAGCACTCCTTCAAGCAACGCGTCTGGGCAGGGGAGCAACTTGTGCGACCCGACCCCCAACCCCAGGATGGACCCGGCTGGGGCATCCTCGCAAGCAGAACACAACACACCGGCGACCGCACTCCCAGTGAAGCACCAGATCCTCGGGGGACCAAAGCCGACACTGAAGCCGATGCACGATTCCAGGAAGCTGTGGCAAGATTCCTTGGAAAACCACCACCAGGGGGATCAGCACCCCAAACTCCCCCCACCCAAGCTACAGCCAGCTCAAGCTCCACTGACGCCCACCCTGCCAACACACCAATTCAACCGCCACCAGCCACGGGTCAGCAGACCCCCACCAAACCACACACACACCATACAAGCCTACAGCAGAAGAGCAATGGCAGTACGACAACGCCCCGCTGGGGCCACCACATGACGAACTTGTAATCCCCGCAAGCATTCCACATGCAGAGGGGACCACGGTGACATATTCCCCAATCTCACATGGGTGCTTCGAAGTGGATGTCTCGGCAACCCACTACATACCCACCGCCCAGACAGCAACAGACGGACTGCCATCTCTCCACATCACCCACCCGGGCCAGAGCGGGCCAGTCCTCACAGCACCACCCTTTACCGTTGGCCTAAGAGGACGACTGGCCCCGATGGGCCCACCAGACATGTGGCTTCTGGTGATAACCGACACCCCTCCCCTCGACGAACATTGGCCGGGGAGCATCCTCGCAGTTGCGGGGGACACCTTCATCTTCGAGTCCACTCCAAAAGGGGGGAAGATGACCGTGGACAAGCAAGTGCATTCTGCACCCCGAGAGTTTAGGCGTGGGGAAGCAAAGCCACCATCCACGCAGCCACGGCAACAGCCGCAAACCCCAACAACCACTACAGACACCCACGATGCGGCACGCGGGAGCAACGACCCGCCCCCCCTTCCACAAACAGACCACCCGGCGACCTCAACCACCCATGGGGAAACACTCCCCCCAAAACAACCAAAGCATGTCCACTTCGCCGCTGACACCAAGGACCCTCCCACCAAGACGCAGAAGGGAAAAGCAAAAGCCCAATCAACCACCTCCACAACCACCACGCAACTACAGCGCATTCGTGGACACACGGGACCTGCGTGGAAGCCGGGGCAGAAACAAGACCGAGCCAAAACCACCTCCTGCCCCCCCCACTCCACAGACAGACCCAGCTGATCTCCTCACTCGCATCCGTGACGGCCGAGACATCGGGGGGAAAAAGCAAGCAAAGACGACAACGACAACAACCACCACCACCACTGGCCATCCCCAAACGCCAACAGCTACCACAACCACCACCACCATCAGCAACACAACAAACACCATGTGGACGACCACCACAGACACAACCTCCACTACAAGCTCCTCCTCTACAAGCCACGACGAAAGCAACCTTATGCAGCACATCCAACAAGCGCTGCAAAGAGGTGCAGAAGCAGCCACCCCAGCCGTGCCACCACCACAACAAGCCAACACAGCATTGGTGGCACAACCGCCACCCGAAACCATCCCCAATAGCACCACGGGAGACACTCCCCAAGACCAACCCCTGCCAGCTGCCACAAGCAGCCACTACCCTACAGCCACAGATCGCATCGAACACTACCTTACTCGCATCCACAGACTCTCCCAACAACTACCAGGGGGGAACATGATAACACACTTGGCAGAATGCGCCCTGGCCGACTTACTTGTCGATGATCAGACCGAATCAGAGGTGCTTCGCCAACTTGAGCTGGAACATCCCTCTGTTCCGAGTGACGCGGGGGAGCCCGACCCAAAGCGCGCTCGAACAGGAGCAACAACAGCATCCTCAACCCAGCAAGCCCTGCAGCGCATACTTACAAAAGCCTGGAAACACCTGAGTGCAGCGAGCAACCACAACCCAGTCTCATATCATGACATTCAGCACGACATTGACATCTTACTCACATGGCTAAATAGCCACTTGCATGCCATGGCCACGGCACGAGGCGGCCACCTCCAGCAATGGGGGAGCGACGAAGCTGACTTGAACTACGACAGGGGCATGTTCAATACGGGGAATGTCCTCGGCCAACTCGGCACAGCCCTTCAGGGGATCCAAATGGAACCTCAACAACGTGAACATTGGCTGTTGCTCGCAGATGTCAGCCACTACTTAGCAGCAGTTGAGCGGGGCGACCCTGTTGGCCACCCAGCTGATGTCATTGCGGAGCACAGGGGGATTGTCACATCTCATCTTGCTCGTGACCGCCGACATCGTTTAGCTCGGGGGATCGTCCTCGAACTGCAGTCCTTGCGAGGACAGCTACAGGAGTGGCCGGGTGGAGAACTCAATACTATCCACCGCGCACTCTTGCAAACCCTTGAAATGGTGGAAGAAGCACTACACCCTGGACTACCAGTACTTCCGGGAGCCCTTGAAGTGCACGATCCTGCCGGAGGACATGAACTATATCCTGGACACCTTGCACTCCCGGGAGCTGCTGAAGCGCACGATTCTCCCGGGGGACATGAGGAAGCTTTGGGCGAAATGCACCCCGCCCGAGAAAGGGGGATGCCCTCCTCCTCTGCTCATGTGGACTGGTGGCTCCATGACCGGCACCATGGCCTTGGAAATGCTCCCGGGGGAACCACTCGAGAAGAACGGAGTCCAACAGAAGACGTACCAAGCGGGAGTGAAGAAAGTCCCGCTGAACATCGGCGCCGCCGCCTACATGGAGCCTACTATGATCGTCATGGCCCCATCTGAGAGCCTCTGATCCGGGGAATGCACTACCACCTCGTTTCTCCTACTGCTTTTGAAGCCTCCTGTATTGTAGCTTCAAGCCCTTCTGTGACCAACAAGGGGGACGAAACGAGCTTGGTATGCATGTACGAAAAGCCTCCCAAATACCCCGTGCCAATTGCTGCTGCTTCGATGCCAAAAACGAACATACTATAAGCTGTTGTTGCGAAGTCTACTCATGCTGCCAGGACAAGTGCTGAATCCAGTCGATACGGTGGTCCTATGGTCCTATGTTGAGGTTTGTTTGGTAACTTGCGATTCAGCACTTGGAACACGAAGATTGTACCACAGCACGACGAAGGGGCTGGAATTATCCCTACCTACCTACTGACACTCCTGGTTTATAGTATCCGAGCTACTAAGGGAAATTCCAGCCGAAATTCAGCCATAACGGCCCAGCAGGACACCTCTACGGGGGATAACTTATACAATCTACTTTCTGTTTCTGGTTGTGAAATCTTTCTTCTGATGACGTCCTGCTTGAACTGGGGGAGTGCCCCATACAGTGCTGGCCTGGGCCTCAGTCAGTCTGTGATGCTTGCAGTTGAACGAATTCGTGATGAACCTCTTTTCCTATGTGTTTTATGATGCAAGCAGCATAGACATTTCAACGGGGGGAATGGTCCATCGGTACGTCCTTGCTTTACACATGCTTAGCCTCTAGGCCACAAAGGTATAGCTGTGTCATTGCTTTGCACTCCGAAATCCGGTGGACTCCCAACCCTGAAACTTCCTTGAACTATACAACCCCGAACAGTGATGCCGCAACGAAGATATCCTGTAATCTACTTTTTCCCTAAAAACACTTCGGCATCACGGGGGAACTGCAGACACAATCATCCTCCCGGAGTCATCCTTTATGCCCCCTATATATTTTACGATCTTTAGCACCAAATGCGATCTACTTTGGCACTTGAATAGGGGGAGATATAAGAATGACTATGCACGTGTTGAAGTGAGAGTCAAATGGGACACAGTTACCGCTATCGTATTTACTTTATGGCTCTAGCCGAAACTGTGTTCCTGACTCATTCTTCACCCCTCACACACCCGTTAACACAGCGGGGGGGCCATTGGCCCGAGGGCGTTGACCCGCCCTCATGCCCGGGAGAGAGAGAGAGAGAGAGATAAAGCACTCCCCTCATGCCCCGGGGAAGAAGATAAAGAAAGAAAGAAAGAGAGATAATGGGAAGAGTATATCACTTTCTGCCACTTCGGTCATAAAACAATGCCGCTGTCACACACTTCGAAGCAGCCCGTACAAGACAGCAGGGCCTGAGCGCCGGAGGGGCTTCACTCGCCCCTTAAGCCTGGGAGAAGAAGAGACAGAGAGAGTCGGCTACGACCGCTGTCACTGCCACTGCCACTACTACGACTACTACCACTGTCACGGTGGATGGAGCAAATCTTGCACCACCTATATACATATTCTGAGTCGGGTACGCCTCCAAGCAACGACCCCCGCACCCCCTTTCTAACATTGACGATGGACCGCAGGCAGGGGGCGGTGCAAGATTTATGTCATTGGAACGATTTTGCAAGCGCTGTTTTCGTAGCAATTTTAAGAAGGGGGCGCGGGGTGAAGCTAGTTGACCTATCTTAAACGCGGTGCAAGATTTCCTGCATCCACAGTAGTTTTCCTGCCTAGTAGTAGTAGTAGTAGTAGTAGTCGTCGTCGTCGTCGTCGTAGTCGTAGTGGTAGTAGGAGTAGGAGTGGGAGTACCAGGAGTAGGAGTTGACGACCACGACAAGTAGTACTAGTGCTAGTACAAGTGTAACTACTACTATTACTACTACTACTACTACTACTACTACTACTACTACTACTACTACTACTACCACGACTACGACTACGACGACGACGACGATTACGACTACGACGACGACGACGATTACGACGACGACTACGACGACGACGACGAGAAAGCGAACACAAAAGCTGCTTGAGAGGCACCGGCCCCGCACCGCTGCACCCGCACTCCCCGCTCAGGCTCACAACCAACCCACGCCGCGCCATGTTGCGCGACCAAGCACGCTGGTAGCAGGAAAGCGTTGCCAAATCCGGGGACAAAACGTCAGGCACCACGCCCGCAGTGCCATTTTGCGATGTGCGACAACAAAAACCTAGGCCTGCTCTGTTCGTGTAAAGATACCAATCCGGATTAAACGACAGCTGAAGTGGCAACCCGACGAAAACAGGCCAAGCGATATCACAAAGACGCAAGGGCAAACCTACGGAAGACCTCCTCACATCATACCATACTGCCGGAGACAACTTCATACTTATATCATCATCAAAGCAGCATCACTTCATGCCATCCAGACCGTCTCTGCGGAAAGCCTTTCGCCATGGTGATAAAGAGACAGAGATCGAGAGCGAGATAGAGCGAGCTTTTGAAGTTGGAGACTGGTTTGCCTCGGCGGTGCAGTATTTCGCTCTTGGCCCCACAACGCGTGCGAGTGCACCTGCACGGGATTAGCAGTCGCTCGCCTGCCTCTTACCCTGGCGACAGAAAAGCAGCACGAGGGATGCTGTATCATAGAATACTTCGCTTGCGGGTTGTTTCTTCTTTTGTTTTGGTTGGCACTGCAAATGCATGAGACCCGGGAGTGGGGAGAGTTTGAGGGACCAGCCAAAGGGTTGTAAATGAGCACGCACGCAATAAACATTGCGGGTGGAAAATGGATGCTGGATATAGTGGAGTCGGGGTGACACAGACGACAATCCAGTGCGAAGCATGTTGTGGGGCGGCTGCACTTCAAGCCTGGGGGGTGTAACTTTTTGACCGGGGAAAGAGCTAGAAAGGAGCCTCAACAAACCCCTCTGAAGCCACAGAGAAACAAACACAAAAAACGGGACCCAGAGGAGGGAGGGCCGGGGAGCGCCGGGAGGGAGGCCTCGGTTCGGTTTTGCTTCTGCAGGGCGTGCTCCCCTTCCGGCAGAAGCCTCATCGGTACAACTCGGCGGTGGACTCCCTTTCGAGCCCGGAGGTCTACGTCACACAGATGGTGGGTGCCGCCCATCCGGCCTATCTCATCACCTTCGCATGAGCTCAGCATGACGCGCACGCAGCCACAGAGGCCGGCTTAGACTCAGCCGACTGTATGCCTTAGCTGGCCATTGTAGATATATAAAACGTGACTGCGGCGGCGGGCACCTGTTGCCCAGCTGCCGACAGCCACTGGAATGGTCACAGGATGCAAGTGCGGCATTTTTCATTTACTGACATAGGAGTCCCTAGAGAGGAATCGCAAGATCCGATGAGAGCTAGTCATCAGTTGAAGGCTAGCAGCACTTTGGGGTTCCTCTGGGGTCTCTCGCACAGCGAATCGAAACTTCGAGATTTTTGCGGCCACTCGTCCACCGAAGGGTGGCGGCTTCCACCTGAGAGGCTTGAGGTGGCACGCACCTGGGGATCTAGGGCCGAAACCCAAAGCCCGTTAAAGCCCAAAGCCCGTCAAGCCATGAACTTCTCAAAGACTCAAACCCCCATCAAGCAGGGCTCTCGTGACTCCGTGTCATGCAGGGAGGCTTCTCACCTCTGCCGCGACCCGATCCAAGATCCGTGTCGCTGGCAGACAGTAGGCAGGTTCTCGAAAGCCCGGAGCGCGCACAAGTCCATCTACCCATCAAAAAAAGAGGATCGCTTTCGAGAACCTGCACGTAGGTTAGCTGACAGCACCAAAGCATTCAATCACAGCGCCGAGAAATAAGACCGTGATCTCAGATGCGATTACAACCGAGTTGCGCAAGCTTGTGGTTCCGAGATGAGCGCAACATGGCGATTGATCTGTCTCAGCAGCTGATGCTCCAGAGAGTGATCATGCTTATGAATCTCGACGATCTGGCCAACTGCAGGCTTGGGAAAGTCAGAGTTCTCCTCCACAGAATCCTAGGCGCATCCTAGGCACGTGGCACCCGCCAGTGCAGGCATTGTGTATTTCAAACTGTTGGCGGTCTTCGGTTTTCCCACCGCTCGGCTCTTTCGCGCAGTCAGTTCGGCGGCGTCGAGTTTTACGAATAAAGACGCGAAGAAATTTTCATCGTGTGTCGCCAAGATATGTTCGTCGATGCCGTTTCCACGGTTTCGAAGCTTGAGCAGTCCGTGCGGCATTCGTCTTGCGGCATCCGTCGTAGCATCTGTCGTTGGCCGTCCGTGGCCCAGCTTCCGTCATCGTCCGTCGTCCGGCGTGGCGCCCGTCGTCCGTCCTCGAGGGGTCCGGCGTCGTGTCGTCCAACTTGTCGTGCGTCGTCGTGTCGTCCGTCGGTGTCTCGTCCGTCGCATCTTCTGTCGGGGCGGTTGTCGTCCGTGGTTCTTCATTGTGTCGTCTGTCGTCGTGATAAGTATTGTATTTGTCGTCTCGTTTGCCGTTGTATCGTTTGTCCTCGTCGTGTTTGGCTGCCGTCGTGGCTAGCGTCGTCATACTGTGCAGAAATTATGTCGAAAGCAATTGGTCGACGAGTGGAATTGGAATGAATTATGTTGACTATCGATTCTCTTGAGATAGGTTCTATCGGTATTTTGCTTTATTCCCCGTTCACGTCGCCCTCCGTTCCTCCTCCTTCCCTCCGTCTCTCCCTCTTTCTTCCTCTCTACACACAACACACACAACACATACACACAACACATACACACACACACACAACACACACACTGACACACGATATACAATATACACAACAGCACACAATAAACAAACGCACACGCAACACGCAACGTATACACACAACGCGTGGTACAGTACACGCACAGATTTGCAGTTCTGGGAGACTCTAAACGGGCACTAAACGCTGACTCTAGAGGGCTCTGCGGGATGCAGCGCGTTTGTGACTCCCCCGCTGGAAGATTTCAAACGCCACTGACTGCCATAGCAGCTCACAACTTTGATTACATTTGATTACACTACGCAGACATGCACAACTCAGCTATGGGCGCGCACACACACAACACGCAATATATACATTACATACATGACACAACTCACAATAGATAGATGCTAGATACAGTGTACGCACACTCAGCACCCACTATATATATATATATATATATATATATATATATATACATATGGCACACATAACGCACATACACCTGCATACACATAACATGCACACGCACAACACACGCGATCCACAACCTACATAGCAGACCCTATATGTAGCACACAGCACGCGGTAGTGTCGTTGTTCAGCTGGTGCCCATGTCAGTCCACCCGACCACCCGGATCGTCAGTGGGTTAGGCTCGGCCTCCCGAAGGACCTTCGAACGCCCATGCAGCCAGCTGAGAGTCTTACCCTGTCCGTGTAGAGGGTTCGAGCCCAGGGCCTTCGCATGCTGAACGCATACTCCCCCCCTACACCATACCGGCGCTCACAGCACACGGTACCGTATATCTGGTATTTCATACAATATAACATGTAATGGGTGCTTTGCATTCACAACGCACATTCTTCTCTGGAAGGTTCTAGAGGGTGTATCTGCATATTCATCAGTATTTACAGACATATTTACATGGATTGTTTGATCTTTTGATGTAGTTAGTTCTTTCTCATTCTTTGAAATCTGACTCTTAGATGAAATTTATTCGTCTTGTTTTGGATTTCATAATTATGTGTTTTACGAGGTAATCACGAAAGCGAAGCTTGTCTGTCGTTTCTGCTACGTTAGTAGTGGCCCCCGGTCGCGTGCCAAACCGCGCAAGTCTCCGATCCCAGCCAAACTAGGCTCCCCCCGCTCCCCCCCTTTCCTGATTTCCAGGCAATCAACTCCCCCCCCCCCCCCCCACCCCCACCGCACGAAACATCGGCCACACCGATGCGAGATGCACTTCGAGTGCAGGCTCCATACGTGCGTTGCACTCATTCATTCCATCGTACCTTTCATGGTTCCATACGCCCATCCGGCCATCCTTGTGTCCATCCATCAATCTATCCGCCTATTTTTCAGTCAGTCGAGGTACTACCCATTGCTCCGGCTGCAAACTTGTCGTGACTGTTGCATGCTACTTCAGCTGTCACCACTACTGCTCAAGCTATGACGGAGACGACGACGACAACCTACTACTCCCGCGACTGCAACTGCCACTGCCCCTGTGACTACCACCGCCACCCATGGCTCTGGATACAGCATTTCAGCACAGCAACCGGCTACATTGTAACTTCGTTCTAGCTTGAGGTGAAGTACTGCAGCATACCACAGGCTACCGGAGCGGTTGCGGTACACGATGGTACACGTCTAACCGTCAGACAGCAACAGCGTGGCTTCAGGCTGCAGGATGCCGCAATCTGCAAGCTTCTAGGGAGCCATGTCTGTGTTTTCGTTGCTGAACGGAGATCCATGCGAAGCTGCCGTGAAGCAGGCAAAGGCCGGAAGCTTGTTTTTCAACGGCAGTGTCGAAAACAGATACTAGTAGGGCAGCTCTCCTTCTTGAGGCCTGGCTTTGCTGGATCACAGGCGTGAGAAATGAGGCGGCGAGCCTTTCGATGAGCAATCGCCTGGAGAATTCGAAGATCCCTCTATCGAAGGAGTGTATGTTGCTTGGCGAAGGCTTTGTGGTGAGCATGATACCATGTGATACCGCTGCAGTCGGCTGCGTATGGTCAAGAGCTCAGGCCAGAGAGCTTGGCCCCAATGACACCGGTTGGGTTCAAGCCGATCCTCGCTTGCATGTTTCTGAATTGCTCGGTTGCTGTCCTTGGCCGTGGCGCTTCGAGGTGCCTTGATTCTGCCAAGCCGCTTGGACGGCGGTTCATTCCTAGCTCATAGATTACTGAGAGCTTGTAAGCGCGCTTGTGGGCTGCTGGTTCTCGGTGTGAAGCTTGATGTTAGCTTGAGGGTATATTGAGCTCCTCATTCCTAGCGGTCCTAGCCCATAGATTACTCAGAGCTTGTAAGCGTGCTTGTGGGCTGCTGGGTTCCGGTGTGAAGCTTGGTTTTAGCTTGAGGGTGAATTGAGCTCCAGCCGAGCAGTGACGAAGTCCTCGCCGGGCACGGTGAGCTTGTGTGGAAGCACAGCTGCGCCTTGCGTCGATGAGGATGCCCTGTCAAGCCATGAGGATGAGGACATTCCTCGCAAAACTGTGCACGCAAGGCTTGCAATGGAAAGGGGTTGTGAGTAGACTGAGTAGATCGCATCTGTATGTTGAAGTGCCGATAGCCTCATTGTGCTCTTCCTGTGCGCACCTCAGTCGCAGCCACGTGGGCCATGTGCACCGAGAAGCAGAGGGTTGCAAGTTTCACCAGGAGCAGGCAAATTGCAGCTTTGCTGAAGAAGATGGCTACAGGTCGGATGATGGAAACACCTGCATCAGCTTGATGTGGTCTCACAAAAGGCTTTAGCAACCTGGTGGTGTCTTCTGCAGGCCGTCCTCCCCGATCAATGCGGATCAATCAGCGTCATCAACTACAATGGCGCACGCTAGCAGAAGGTTGCCTGGCCTGAATTACAAGTTTGCGCACGAGTCCAGCTGTTATCCTTGAGGCCACTGCAAACATCCGTGGCTTGTTGTGACCTCCACGGCGTGTCCAACCCCTTCGAGGACAGGCTTGCCAGGAACGCCAACGGCTTCTTCCGAATGTGTGCAGTAATCAGCAGGTCGTAAGTTGTAAGTAAGTAGTACCGAGTAAGTAGTAAGCAGAAAGCAGTAGGCACTACGCAATAAGTACAATGTTTAAGTAGTAAGTAGTAGCTAGTAAGGATTAGGGAGTAAGTAGTAAGTAGTAAGTAGTAGTTAGCAGTAGTAGTATGTGTATATATATATACAGATATCTGAGTTTACTATAGGCAGCATGAACAGTCTGACTATGCTTTTCTTCCAGGATGGCGAGGGCGTTCTCGCAGCCAGCGCGAGCTTTCAGCCGCTCGAGCGCAGAGGAAAAGCACTGGCCACACGTTTTCAGATCTTACTGTCTGTAATATGGGCGCTATGTGTCTGCCCCGTTTCATGTCTCATTCCCGGTCCAGATCGGATTGACGATGAAAACGAAGCCAGAAATTGACAGATTTGGCCCGGGGGTTAATGGTTGCGACGCATGGACGAATTACTCAAA